ATTCACACATTTTTAATACAAAACCCTGCATATTTAGCCTGAGTTCTTCTCTCACACAGAAAACATTCTGTTCCACCTTGTGATGAATCATTTGGATAATTTCAGCCCTAGAATTGCCAATTTCTACTGAATAAAATGTAAAAGGAAGCTGTTAACTTAAAAACTATTACTACATGACAGGTGGAACAGAGCATTTTGAGCTTTGCAAATGAAGACAGACTAATAATAAACTTACTTAATTGTGAATGAAGCAAGGTAACAACATTATAACATGGTTTAAAGCTCAGAATAAATTTTCTGTAATGTAGGACCTTTAAACTTTAATAATTGTAATATAATAATTGATTACTCCCTTCCAACAGTTACAGGCTACTTTTATTACTTTTATTTGGAGTAAAGAAAAGTACGCTATACACATTTAGTCTAGTACAGTATTGATATAAGTGGACAAACAGCTTCACTGCAGCTCCTTTATCCAGAAGATTTATAATAAATAGTGGGATTTTTGACACCAACCTCCACATAATGAAAGCAATATCTCTGACACTGGTGCATGTTTGAACACAGGTCAACACATGGTCCAGAGCTGATCTTATCTAATCAGCCTTGTTTTGAAGGGGATGTATTGCTTTGGAACAAGAAAAGTTACATAGTGCAGTTTGATACAAACAGATACTAAGTATTTTCTGCATGTGTAAAAAGTTAACACATGCAAATTTGGAAATATATAGAGGCCAGACATAGACGTAAGCCTTAAAGCTACCGATGTTTCTAAACAGTAATAAAATCAAATGCAAAAATAACTAAACTATCTATAACTATAGATAGATAACTATCTAAAAATATCAAAGCATAAAAAGCAATAATGATTTTCTTCTCAATGTCATTACTATGATAACTTACCTGCTTCCAAAAATGTCTCTCTCTTCATCATGCACACGTGAAGATTGAACACAAGTACTTTGAGCAGAGCCATAGTTTCACCTATATTCAGAGCACAGAAAATAATGTTAGAAAACAAAACATTTGTTTGAGAATTCACGCTATTCACAGTAATGTAGACTTTTACATACAAAACAAGATCCATGCAACTAGTGTTTTGATACTAAGGAACAGACTCGATACTCAATACCAATTCCAAGACCATGGTGATAATAAAAAACACAACTCAACATATATAGCTGTGTAATCACTCAGTCGTCCAGGTCCATGGGTGTATCTGTCCCTATTCAAATAAACCAAATAAATATATACATTGTTCTGATACAGCTCTAGATCATTCTAAAGCGGGACAAGAAGAGGTTCATTTCGGTCCTGTGAATGTGACTTTTTTAGTATTGATATTACCTCAAATGAGTATCAAGTGTCGATACTAGTTTTAGTGTTGATTAGTATCTGACATTTAATAATACCTTTTAATTTTTACCCTAATAACAATAGCACATTATCAAGAAAAAAAAAAAAGCCTAAATAAAACCAATTAAATACACTGCTTGATCTTACACTTACACACTGATGCGATGCAATTTTCTGCCAGGCGGGGTTTAAAATAGACCCATTGTCAATACACAATTAAAACTATGGAAATAACACCTTCAGAACAGCCTCACTGCACTATGATTCATAATCATTTTCTCGCAAAGTTAGACAACAGAGCAACACTGAACAATGCAAGTGTCATTCAAAAGTGACGGACAGAGAAACTGGAACAAATCGTGTTGAAAAGATGACTCATAATCATAACATAAAAATATTTTGTTTGATATTTTAATTAGGCGTAGACTGCCGTATATACACCTATGCTTTTGTCATTTGTTTTGTTTTAATCACCAAATCTAAATATAACTTCACAATTAACACAGACACTTTGATCTTGGGCTGAATTTTAATGATGACACAAAATAGGTCAGGTAAATATCTGTTTTAATGAGTGAAGGCATTTTTAAGTCCCTATTTCTCATCAAACATATGGTAACTACTGTTGACCTTTTAATCAATAAGCAGATCTCAGGCAAATGAACATGACATTTCATTTCGTTCTTGGATTTTATGTGAAATATTGCTCTGTTCTTCAGTGCACGGTTTATTCACGTTTCTAATCTGGATCTTAAAGCTTTTTTTATCCACCCAGCTTTCTCTCACAGCTCTTCACTTGCTCTTATACACTGAACAGCACAACAGCATACAGATAGTGCATAATATAAGTAGCCTCGTTCTCTATAAGGGGTTGAGATACTCTTCGGAGAGACTATAAACCCGGTGAGAAAAGGTTTGCGGTTTAAAGAGTTCATATTACACTATTTTCTGATCTATGTTATAATGTTGTTTCCTCATCAAAAAAGTACTTTTGTTTCATTCACACATGTTTAACACACAAACCCTGCATATTTAAGCTGATTTATTCTCTCAGAATAGCATACGCTCTAGTCCACCTTGTGATGTCATGCAGAAAGTGCTGCACTTTGTTTTTAAACTCCATACACCTTCACTAGAATCATGCCGATAATTTCAGAATGGCCTTTCTCTATTGAACTAAAGATAAAAGGTAGCTGTTATCTTGATATGACATCACAGGGTGGAACAGAGCATTTTGAGTCATGTAGACAGACTAATAATGGAGCTCTTCTCAAACATGTATGAATGAAACAAAACACAAATGAAGGTGTTTTTGATAAGGTAACAACATTCAAACATCTCCAAATGTTTAAAAGAGACAATTTTGCGTGATATAGAAAGCTATGACATTTTTTTGTTGGAGGATCATATAGCGGAGCTCCTCACTAGAAAAGTTAAAATGCAACTTTAAAACACAACTCAAATAGATCTTTTAGGTATTAAACAAAAAAGTTTCATTCCTAAAAGCTGCCATTAGCGAGTTGCAATGAATTACACGGCGCATAGTGCAATAATCTGCAACTGATTAATAACACAATATTTCTCCCACTCTGTTCCCACAAGTTCAAACATGAGGGTACGCAGAAAACAGAACTCTTGTGCACTTTCTTAACATAGTGATCATTTCAAAAGTCAAATGTATATGATTTTATATGTTGCTATTTTGATTCATGTCCAAATCTTACCATTGGTCAATTGCCTGCCTTTTCTCTTCATTATAAAAGGCGCGCACGTGTTCTGGTCTTCCGCAATTTCCTGGTCACGTGAGGAGATAAAACATCTCCTCAAATAAACACTTACATGGCCTTTTTTATTTACTTATTTAAAAACGAGGTAAACTAGGCATATTTGAATGTAAATCAAACTTATCTAAATAACTTTCTGTGTAAGTGCAATTGTTTTAACCACTGGGTCAGACAGAAGCATATGTTCTCACACAAGCGTATCTCTGCAGAATTAAACCCGTGACTATAATCACTGTGAAGTCTTCCTGACCCATCCCTCCTCTGGCTTTTCTACCCCATAATTTACCTGTCCATCTAGGCCAATGGAGGAAAATAAGTTACCATAGCAACTCCTCCACGTGCTGCTGAGATGAGGACTTGGCGGGCGCGCGCCCGTGCTATTAACACGCGCACATGTCCACGCGGGAGAGAGAGGGGGGCACTTGTGAGACACTCGGGGGAGTAGGTCAGCGGAGAGGCGGCCACAGTGCTGCGCTCAGAGGCAGGCAGCAGAAAATGTGTGATGTGCTCTGCCCCGGACGGACGGGGACTGCAGAGAGCCAGAGCGCCCTAACCTTGAGGCTCTCTTTCATGTTGTTCCCACTACGAGCTTAGTGGCTTCGTTAGCATTCAGGGCAGGCTCTTTTGAGTTTGACTTTTTGGGCTTCATAGCATTGCCATTATGGATTGACTGGTTCTTTTTCTCACAGTGAGGCGTGGGCACACACAGGCTGGTTTAGGCTGTTCAGGTCACTGCTCTCTCACTGTAGGTTATATCTAATTGCAGACGGATGTATGGGAGCAGCTGTCTGTGGTACTCGACTACAACACCAATAAAACTTCGTAATCCCTTTTTCCTTAGCAGTGATTCTATTAGGCCTCTTACGGTAACTCATTTTGAAGTGCAATATATCACTGAGGATAATATAGACGATAAACGATGATACTGAAACAATTTTATGTCACTGTCCCAGTAACCCTTAAAGCAGACATGTCAAACTCAGGCCCAGGGGCCAAATTTGGCCCGCAATATAATTATTTTTGGTGCGCGAGATCATATCAAATATGTATTAGAGCTGCCCACCAGCTACAGATAGACTGTAGAGACATTATTTATTTAAAATGGTGTTATTATTATTTTACTTTATGCTTGTTCTGGATTCAATATTTAAGCAAAACTATTATTAAACATGTTTTTTAATAAGAAAAGGCTTATTACATATCTCGAAAGAAAAGAAAACATGCAGATGTTGTTGAAATTTTTCAATAAATATTTAGTTTGTCCCATGACTTAGTCCCATGACTTTGTCCCAGTTTTTTATTTTGGCCTCTGTGAATCTGAGTTTAAGGCAAGAGTGTCAAAGGTTCTTTGTGTAACTTTCCTGATGGAGGGTCTGTCATCTGATGTTTTTTCAATGGAGATGTTATTGCTTTGCCTGAAATGTTCAACAATAGCATTACATTTATCCATCTTGCACTTATTTAATTACAGGTGTTTTTATTGCTTAAAAAATTAATGAGCAGTGTCGGCTCTTCGCAGATTTGATGTGTAACTTGGCTTGGTGGTGTCACTTTTTTGTCTCTATGGAAATAGATACGTTTAATGCAATACTGTGGAGCATTCTAGACAAAACAGCAACATACCCATGAAGATGAGAAGGTAATGGACCCTCCATCAGAAAAGTTACACAATGAACCTTTAAGGGTTACTGTGACAGTGACATAAAGTAGAATTGTCCCAAAAAAATATTTAAATGATGATGATGAAGAGATAATAGCTGGAACATTCAAAGGATAGGCTTATTTTAGCTCTAGAAAGGCAAATTTTCATGTAATCATTCACATACTTGTGTTAAACTCTTTTAATAATAAAAATATATATAATGTGAAAATATTTATTCAACAAATAAAAGTGTATATTTGACAAAAATTCGGAATAATATACAACAAACCGTGTACTTGATATAAAACATATAGGAAACCGATACTGTATAATAGAAGTATTTTTAACAAACAAAGATTAAAATAAACATATCCCCAAATGTTAATCTATTCCCCATTTCAATACAACATCTGTGCAAAAACTGCGCTGGGAGAGTGCTTTGGCTGTACATAAAAATACCCAATAAAAAAAAAAAAAAAAACACAACAATAAAATATTTTTGCTACATGATCGCAAACTGGGCCTTCTTGATTACTTAAGTACCACAAACAAAAAGGTTCCCAAGACAAGATGTAAACTCATTTCCTCACATTGAATCACTGCACAGCGCCCTCTCGTGGCCACCGCAATAATATTCACCTAATGGATCGACTTGGGACTTAAGAAATCTAAAGTAGTCATTTGAGGCAAAACTCTGTCTTGTCTCAAGTGGCTTATCAAGCAGTCTATAGAGAATGCAACTTTTCAGGGCGATTAAAACAATAATAAAAAACTAACCAGAGTCAATCTGCAGTTAGTGAAATATAATTAAAATGAGTAATGAGGCTGTTCAGACAATGCAATGTGCCAAGAATTTATGAGGATATTTTCAAAGATTATACTTCTAAACATTAAACCAATTGTGTGTAAACAAGTATGCGTGCAGTGAATACTTTTTCCTTTGAGACAAGTGCCCAATAAAACTGCATGTTTATTGAGGATACAATTTTTGAGTCTGAACAGTGATTTTGAAAGTTCTGAATTTCCATGGCAATTATGTATTTCTACCATGTCTTCCAAAAAAAATCTTGAACACCCACAATGTTTCACATTTGGGTCCATGAACAAATGAGCAGAAATTGTGATCACACAGAATTCATTTTCACATGGATGTGAAGTAATTGCACTTGGATGGGGGACGTGATTCATTAAGGGCCCTATATTACGCAAAACTGACTCTTGTGAGCTTTAAGCCATGTTATAAAGTTGTTCTCTCCTCAGAAACATGTCTAAAGTTGTGTTTTGTTTCATTCACACATGTTTGAGTAAGCCTTTATTATTAGTCTGTCTATATCTCCAAAGCTCAAAATGCTGGTCCACCTTGTGATGTCATGACGTGTTAGTCTTCAAAAGCTACCTTTTACCTTTAGTTCAGTAGAAATTGGCAGTTCCAGGGCTGAAATGATCTGAGAAATTCCTTACATTATCACATGACATCATAAGGTGGGAAAAAAAAGCATTTTCTGTTTGAGAGAAGAATGGTCTGCATGTTAAACAGATGTGAATTACAAAACACAACTCTAGGTATGTGTGTGATGAGGAAACAACATAATAACATAGAAAGTCAGAAAATAGCTTAATATGGGCTCTTTAAAATTAATTAATTGGTCCATTTATTTATTTACTGACCCAGGACAGGGGCGGGGTCAGAGAACACAGACGCAGGGGTATTTGAGGCACACTGGGAGTGTGCCTTTGTTGATTTGGTGAAACTCAACAAGCTGCAGGAGGTCGATGAAAAGGGTCACGCCATCGTCCATAGTGTAGTACTTTCTGCCATCTTCTTCACACTACAAGAGAGATACAAGTTATTATGTTGGTTTTGTGTAATGAGTCTTAGGAAAACCTGGAGGTAGCAAAATTGGAGATGCTGAAAATCTCATTAAATTCAAGGGATCAGATTGGATAGTTCTAAAAATAATTACATCCATGGGACAGCGTTAAAAGTAACACATGGGCCCGGTCAAGCAGAAGTATACAGCAAGGCCAAAAATTCAAGTTAATGAATCTGATATAAAAATGTATTCAACAGATAGCATATGTACTCTAGTTTATGAAACTTTACCTTTTTTCTGTACCATTTTTGGTTCTAAAGTTACATACGTTTTAAACAGACCATGTATGCAACATGGAACAAAAATTATTTCCCAAATTTCAAAGACCTGCAAATCATGTAAATAAATTGATGTATTTCATCATATCTTGTGTTATTCCATCTTTGAACTGTTGATGAAGGTACATGATTTTTTTTTTTAAAAAATTATATAAAATGATAAAAATTTGCTTGGAAGGACTGACATATTTTATAGAAATAGTTACCTTTCATTTTGAAGTAATATTAAAGTATTTGGAAGAAAAAAGCTGACAAATTATGCAAAATCATGCACCTTCTACTTGCTTGCACAATTTTCCCTCCGTTACCAGGACCTTTTTTATTAAAAAATCTCATTACTCAAAAAGTAAGAGGTTTTTCAAACTAATCTGGTACCATATGGTAGAAAACTATATTAAGCAAATATTCAAACCAGTGTGTTAAGGATATGTAAGTGAGAACCGGTAGTTATCGCTGTTTGTATTTATTGCCCAAAAAGTGCTGCATATTTCATTCCCTCCGTTACAGACATGAGTTTTTACATTTTTTGTCAACAACTTGAAAGAATATCACAGGTTTAACTTTACCCTGTTGGAGTGTTAACTCTTTCCTACATTCTGATACCTTACTTATTTCAATAGTCCCTCTAGTTTCTGAATAAGAGCTATTTGAATGTAAAAAATCTGCCCCTGTTTCCCTCCGTTACCACTTGACTGGACCCAACTGCTTTTGGTGATGTTTAAAGAGCCCATATCATGCTATTTTCTGATCTAAGTTATAATGTTTCCTCATCACAAACATACTTGGAGATGCGTTATGTTTTGTTTCATTCACACACGTTTAACACACCGACTCTGCATATTTAGGCTGAGCTCTTCTCTCAAACTGAAAATGCTCCTTGTGATGTCATGTGGTAATACAGGAAGTGCTCCACTGTGTTCTCCATAAACTCCATACTTCATATTCCTTCACTAAAATTATTTGGATAATTTCACCCCATGATTCGCCAATTTGTATTGAAATTTACCTTATGTTCAATCTGTTAACTTGAAAACTACCACTTCATGACATCACAAGGTGGAACAGAGCATTTTAAGATTTGGAGATGTAGACAGACTAATAATAAAAGGTTACTCAAACATGTGTGAATGAAACAAAAATAAATAATGTAATATAGGTCCTTTAAAAAATTACTAAAAATGCTTAAGACACAAATTGGTTATGGCAACCCACTACAAGGAGCTCATTCTGCTTTCTAATTGGTTAATCCACTTGACACAGTTTGTAAAAATGTTTTGAATTGAACTGGATAAGAAATTAAACTAATAGAAAAAATATTTTTGATCTACTTGGTGGTAAATAAATACCAAAAAGATTTATAGGAGAACAGGTTATGAAGGTGGTTAGTTCATAGTTGTAATTGCTTTGGATAAGTAAAAACAGCAAATTATACGTGTAGCAACTAATGCATTGTATCTGTAGTAACATTGATTTTTTCCTCGCCCACTCTCTCGTAATTAAAAGAATGCAATTACTGTTATCTTGATCATCTCTATTGAAAACCACCTTCATCTGCAAGGTTATTCATACTAAGCAACAATAAGTGAAGTAACATTTCTCCTTCCTAGGTATGTAGACGGGTTGTATTGATATTTGAAAGATTAACAGTCAGGTCTGTGAAACATCTTGTTTGTAATGCAGCCACAAGAGGCTACAATTCTTAATCCTTAAAGGGCACATATAACTGATCTATGTTATAATGTTTCATCATCAAATACATACCCAGAGTTGTGTTTTGTTTCATTCCCACATGTTTAACACACAAACCCTGCATATTTAGACTGAGTTCTTACAGAAAACTCTCCAACTTGTGATGGCAGGTGGAATACAGGAAGAGCTCCACTGTGTTTTTAAACTCCATGCACCTTCACTAGAATTATTTGGATAATTTCAGCCATAGAATTGTCAGTCTCTATTGAACTCAAGGTAAAAGGTAATAGTTAACTTGAATCCTTCATGACATTTTGGGCTTTGGAGACGTACACAGACTAATAATACTGTGAATGAAAGAAAACATTACTCCAGTTATACTTTTGATGAGGAAACAACATAACATCACTTAAAGATCACAAGAATCAATTTAGTAATATATTAATTAAAATGATTTGGATGTGGATCTAGTATTGTGAGATTTTGTGAGATATAGATACTTTTTAAATAAACAAAGAGGTCAGAGATATGAATGAAAATAAATATCAGTTTTTGTTACTATCATTATAACAATCATCTGATGCTAATCTTGCAATCCATCAGAAATGTTGTAACATGTGATAAAAATACTAATATCTTTGCAAAACTTGTGTGAAGGGTATACTATCTTGCCCACCTATGTTTTAGCATTTTTTATGTAACCCCACTACAATTCTGTTGCTTATTTAGTGAAAGAAAACTTGTTCATGCAATACACTTGACATATTCACTGTAATGATGATTAAAAGATATGTATTTCATATTAACTTTGCACATGTAGTGGATTAACAAAGAAATACTTTTGCTAAAATGTGTTTAGTTCTTAAAAAACAGCAATATATTACAGAATGTCATGTGCAATATATTGATTATTGCATCTATTGCCATGTCGTGATAATATTGTATGATGAGCCATGTATCCTATCGAGCCCTACTATACACTGTGCTGTGCATCCATGATCCATAAAAAAATGTGAAAGAGAACTTACAGGAATAACCAGGTAGTGTTTAGTCTTGAGCTTGTAGCACAGCGAGAGGACAAAGCACTGGGCGTGCTGCTGGCTGTCACGAATAAGGAACATCCTATAGGCACAGAAGGCACAGTTTATGGACTAAAATACATGTGACACACTGGAGACACAGAGGTTGACACACTATCATTAAAAGTAATTACATCAGCTACACAATGAGCCATGATACAGTCAGAAGTCTACGTCTACTGCATAGTAACTACAGCAGATAAAGGTAGAGAGTGATTCTTCTGCACAGAATGTGTGAAAAATCCTGATAATTGATAATGTTTTGATATAAACTTGAAAATTAGATCTGTAGAGGCGAGTCGGCTCACAGTTTTTCAATGTATTGTTGTGCACTATGTAGGGAACCATCACAAAATTGATCCAATGTTATTGCTTTTTTTGGAATGTTTCACAGTAGGGCATTAAACTTATCTATGTAGAATATATTAAATTAGGGGTTTCTATGGCTTGGAAAACCCTGGAATACCTTGTAAAACATGCATTTTTACTGTGTGGGGGCTCAGATTTATAACTTGGCTTGGAGATAAATTCCCATACTGTGGAACATTTCAGGCAAAGCAATAACATTTCCATGGAGACAAGCACGTGGCAGACCCTCCTCCAGAAAAGTTACATAGTACACCTTTAAAGAGATACTATACCGACTTGATAGCAATATAATGATTACATTTAAATAAACATACCCATCCACAAGTCCCTGTCTCTCTATGAGTCTTTGGGCTTCAGTTCTGGACACTCCACCGTGAAACCAGGGTTGCGTTTTATGGATTGCTGAAAATAGAAAAAGCAGAGGTCAAACTCCAGGATGACATTTTCCACAAAAAGAGACTAGTGACTGTGAACTTTAAAGTGGACTTACAGGAAGGTCTGGGGCCAGAGTTCAGGTTCGGCAAACTGCACCTCAAGGCCTCTCTCCTCTGTCCACAGACAAGCACAAATACCACAGGTCATAAACTGTACTGCAGCGATGACCCTCAAAGTGATATTAGAGCATTAGAGATAATTGTAGTACTCATGGAATAAAAGCAGAGAAAATACCTGAAGAAGTAGCACTGTACTAGTAATAGCAGTATAGGAGTAGCAGTAGCAGTAGTAGTAGATCAGTGGTGGACAGTGATGGTGCAAGTGTTAATCCCAGAGGTGGGACCAAGTCATTGTTTTGAAAGTCTCAAGTAAGTCTCAAGTCTTTGACCACAAGTCTGAGACAAGTCCCAAGTCAAACACAAGAAAGTCCAAGTCAAGTCTCGAGTCACTGGTCCATAAGTTCAAGTCAAGTCCAAGTCATCTGCTTTGAGCTTCAAGTCATTTCAAGTCTTTAAAACAAAGTACCAAATAGAGCTTAGATTTCTGCAATTTGTATGAATTTTAAACAGAATTTTACTTAAAAAGTCATAGTATATTTATATATGAGTATTTATATAAGAGTTGTAGAAATGCAAATCTTTCCTTTTTAAAAGTCTTGACAAGATCTTTGTGTGAATCATTACGGTCAGATCAGAAAGAATTCAGATTTAAAAGTGCTTAATAACAGTTATTTTGTCATGTAGTCTGCACTGAAATGGAAGGATCATGTTCTCTGTAGTTCTCTTTCACTGTATTGTACTGTATATTACTGTATTGTACTGTATATTACTGTAGTACATTTGAGGATACTCACAGTACTTCAGTTACATCCAAAGTAACAAACAGAGAAGTGGGAGGGACATGTTTTAATTTGTTCCTGTAAAACTGAACACCGTGTTTATCAACTGTAAAGAGAAAAGTATTTTATAAAAACATCTTTTTTAGGTGAAGCATAAAGTCTTCTCAAGTCACAGGCCTCAAGTCCAAGTCAAGTCCCAAGTCACAGTCCATTTTATAAAGTCCAGTCTCAAGTCCTAAAAATAGTGACTCGAGTCTGAATCGAGTCCAAGTCACAACTTGCAAGTCCCCACCTCTGCTTAGTCCTACAACTTTAAGTATAACTAAAAAGATACAATATTTTATTTTGAATTGTTAATTGCTATGGCAACAGTGCTAGATTTAAATGATGCTGAAATCCATGAATAGTAAAGTTATGGTAGGAGCACAAAGCAGTAGTAAATGCTACATAAGTAGAAGTAGTAGTAGTAGTAGTAGTAGTAGTAGTAGTAGTAGTAGTAGTAGTAGTAGTAGTAGTAGTAGTAGCAGTAGTAGCAGTAGTAGCAGCATTGCAGGGAAAGTCGATAGCCCATTACACATAGGAATTTTGACAGTAGCACAATACACATTTATCTTATTTTTGGACATTTCTTAGTCTTACACTCATATTAACCCAATACTGTTGTAACCACAATGGAAACATTTTGTACTTAATTCATTTTCTTTGAAATAGTAATGAACTAAAACAAAATTAGATAATGCCAATCAGTTTGAGCCTGTATTACTAGTTGCAGTAGCACTAGTAGGACATTTTGAGTCGCCAGCTTCCTGTCCCCTGCCCCTCTCTCCCAATGTCCCTGTATAAATTTATATAACTATGCCCTCTAAGCTAGACTGCAGTCTGGACACGCCTGATTACAGTCTCCCTCTTTCCTCTCATCTATCTCTTTTATAGCCCCCTCCAGCTCGCCTCACTCCCCAATCTGAGTCCACCACCGAGAATTGAGTCCCCAGCTGCCACCAAAAAGACAGTTGTGCACATTTATGACTTAAAGTTCAGGGTGAAATGTCTTAACAAGCAGTATTTTATATCAACTGAACGCTGGTGATCAAATGATTGAAAATGCTCCTAATGTTCCCGTCTGGATAGACCACAGCAAAAGATCTGCTTTGAAATCGTCTGCATGACCTAATTTATCATTTTGGAGCTGTAATTTATTACCCTCTTCTGTAAATCATACAATATGTATCTTATTTAAGGACGAGTTCAGTGAATTAAAAGGTGCACTACGGAACTTTCTAGTAGGGGTTTACATGGAGCTGTTCTTACTTAGCCTAGAAATCGCCATAGTAGGACATAGATTAAACTTCTAAGTATTTAATTGCTCAAAATATCGGTCATTCTAACTGGGGTCACCTCTGCGCAGATCTGACCTGTAACCTGTTTGTCTTAGATATATTTATTGTCATACTGTGCAACATTTTAGATGAGCAAATAACATAGATAAGTAGGATGGTGTACTTTTCATCCATTTTTAGACGGTGCACCTTTAACAGATTTATTAGCGAGGATTAAACCTGGATTCATTCAGGCCTAAACCCGCTGAAAGTCTTTCCTGAACATAAACAAGAAGGAATCATAGAAGGAATCAGAGGCAGATGGACTGTGCACCATCACCAGGGACTTGAAAACCACTAATATAAAAACTACAAGCAAGGGCTGACACAAAAAGGAAAAAAGTGATGCAAGCTGGGACACCATTTGGGACATGCTTTACTGGCACAACCTCAAATGCCCCCTCCCTCAGTCCCTTTCCTCACTCTTCTTTTCTTTCCCATCCTCCGTCTCCTCTCCCTCTCCTCCTCCCCTCCCCTCCCCTCCCTGCCCGCTCCTCGCCCGCCAGGTTTGGCCCTCCTCCCTTTCCTCTCTCTCCTCCCCTCCTCCCTCTCCTCTCCTCCCCCCCTCTCTCCTCACCCTCCAGGCTTGGCCCTCCTCCCGCTCTGCGCTGCGGGCCTCTGATGGGTTCTGAATGACCCGTCCTCCAGCCTTCCCCGAAAAGTCCATCGCCACCAGACTCGCCTCCGACTTTGACTGAAATGATCGTAACACTGATGTAACATGGGCTAAATAGCATTAACACATCTCCTGTATTGTATTCAGATGAACTCACTTTTGTGTCTGGGAAGTGTTTGGCTGTTTCACGCCTTTGCGGTGCCAATTTGGATAACTGGTAGTTACACTGGAGCTGTTTGCCGTGCTGATCACACACAGAAAGACAAAATGAACAGTTACTAGAAGCTTGTATCCTGTTTCGTTTGCCAAAAATATGAATAAACACTTGCTTTAACAATTGTGGTCGAATGGTATAATGAAGTTACAGTAATACATTATGACCACTGGCAACTGAATAAGAAAAGGGATATTCAGTTCCATTAGTCTATCAAAGCCCAAATTGTGATGGATAGTTATGAGCCGTTTCTGGCTTCAAGTGAGTCCCTAGTAAATAGTAAACTACAATGAAGATATTAAACTATAACTATATTGTTATTTAGAAACATTGCACAAATAAGCCTAAATTCAGATTGAGCCATGGCAGGAATTATCGGAAAATGTAAATTTTTAATAGCATGAACATGGAGACTTGGAGCCCCCTGTTGGTTTGTTGTGATTTGTGCATGTTTAATATGTTAATATGTAGAAAGTAGAAACATCTCTAGATAAAAGAGTAGGTCATAGCAACTTGAACGATGCAGCTTTTCATGTGCTGTGTTTTCAATATGCAGTGGAAAATTTCATTAAAAGTAACAAATAAATAAAAACTTAGCAAACCTACTCATTATTATGTGAAGCAAATATTGGTGCATCTTGTTTGTGCCAAAAGATAAGTTGCTCAGTCTTTTTTTCTATTACTAAACTGAATATTTAACAACAAGAAAACAAAAATGATCAAAAAGAATCAAATTAAAATAAAAACTTTCCACGCCCCACCCCTGTCTTCACATGCTCAACACAGAATTTTTCCTTGATGTCAATTTTTTCAGAAACGTGTGACTTTCAAATGTGGGTGATCATAATATTAAGCCTGATCATCTTAAATTATAGGATGTCTTAATTTAACGTTGTGAGACCTTGAAAAGTCTGAAGGATGATGTCCAGCAAGTCCGTGTTTGCTCACTCTCCGCACACAAGAATTTCAGGTCCTGAGCACGCACTGGGTTTTTCGAAGGCTGCAGGAGCACACACACAGAATACAGAAGGAATTATGATATTTTCACTGCCTCCAAGCTCTGGCATTTTAGATCACCAATATTGACATAGTAATAGCCGTGAGAAGTATGGCGTGAATGCAGGAGTAGTGATAGTGTAGTATTAGTATGCGCAAAAATGCCTTGAGTAAAATAACTTGTGTGAAAGTCTGGTCCGTGGACATTTTTCTGTTTAATCCTGTTAAGGGTGCACTACGTAACATTTCAAGTGGGAGTGGGAAGGTGCGGCAACTGCTTTTCTCCATGGAGATATTGCTGCTATGCCTGCTATGCATTAAACTGAAATCCTGCAATCACAGTTCATTCAATCACAGTTTTGTATTGCTTAAAAATAAACTTGTACATTTTTCATTCTTACTGAGATTGTGGTCAGCTGTCCACAGATCTGACCTGTAACTTGGCCTGGATGTACCACATTCAAGGCAATGGAATAACATCTCCATGAAGACAAGCTGATGACAGATCCTCAAATAGAAAAGCACCTTTAAATCCAGTAGGACATGTTACCTTGATACAGAAGGTGAAGTCAGTGGGCGCACCGTACAATTTTTTGCTATTCACCACAGTGTAAACATTCAAATCTTCCAAATCAGCCACATACTGCAGGTGCCTTGGCTCCTGAAAAATAAAAATAAACTTTATGTTTATCATTTCAATAAATATTTGGTTTCACAAGTATCACCTAGGCAACATTCTCACTAAAAACTGTACCAAATGACTCAAGTAGACCTATACCTGCTCTAAATAGTAATGCCTAAACTGATTATTAAAGGACCATTTTCTGATATCTGTTATAATGTTTCCCAATCACAAACATACCTGGAGTTGTGTTTTGTTTCATTCACACATGTTTAACACACAAACGCTGCATATTGAGACTTCTCTCAAACAGAAAACACTCTGTTCCAACTTGTGATGTCATGTGGTAATACAGGAAGTGCTCGACTGTGTAACATCTTCAATCAATTTGATGATTTCAGACCTGGAATTGCCAAACTCAACTGAACAAATTTTGAAATTTGAAATTTTGACTGAACAAGCATATGACATCACAAGGTGGAAAAGAGCATTTAGAGCTTTGGAGATGTAGACAGAATATTAAAAGGTATACTGAAAAATGTGTGAATGCAACAAAACATAACTCCAGGTATGGTTTTTGATGAATTAACAGCATTCTAACATGTTTTCAAGCTCACAAGAATCCATTTTGTGCAATATAGCCCCTTTAAAAATTATTATAAACCAGATCTAGAGTTAAAGCATACACAAAATATATCTAATTCTAAGTCCAAGATCCCAGAGGACCCTGAGTACAAGCAGCCACATGTACCACAGCTTTACAAACACTGGCATAGACATCTTGATTCTCTGCTCTTTGAAAATGTCACTCTAAGATAAAGATCAAGTCACGAGCAAATAAACCGCACATGGATCTATTTGCCTTATGAAAATGCGCACGTCTTTCCCATTTCACTAAACTAACATTGCAAAGTAACGCAAGTTTCGTGTGGTTATCTGTAATTGCGCTGACCTTGGAGGAGCCCTTGGAGGAGCAGTAGAGACCCGAGCGCCGCAGGAAGTAGTAAACCTTTTTCCAGGACTTTCGACTGGGCTCTTTGGACTGAAGATAGCCTTGGATTTCAGGACACGTACCAGACTTTAGGAGATTCTGTGAGTTATAGAGAAAAATGTTTTGTAATACAGGTGGTGAATGTACAATAGTATGTTAAAACTAAATATAAGCATCCACCAAGCAGAAGGTGAGAGAAGCGATGCCCTCAGATTGTTGCTGTGTCCTTAGGCAAGACACATTGACTAGTATGAATGTGGTGTTTGAGTGGGTTATTGGTGGTGTTTGGAGTAACCCATGGCAAAGATTGGCAGCCTCACATCCGTTACTCTGCCCCAAGACAGTTCTGGCTACCAAAGTAGGTTGCGACCACCAATGTACCGCTTTGTAAAGTGCATCTCTCTATTGATCTGAACTGATGGAGTCTTCTGCTTGTCTCCATAGCGATAGATAAATTCAATGTCATACGGTGGAACATTTGAGGCAAAGCAGTAATATGGAGAGAAGCAGATGGTGAACCTTCCACCAAAAAGGTTAGTGCCGCTATAACAACAGACCAGATTTTTCAGATTAAAATCTATTGGTTCTTTAATTTCAGCATCTCCCAAACTGTCCCAGCATCATCTCATTGTTTTGACTGCCATGTTAATCATTGCTAAAAGATGAACTGTTACCTGAATGAGCTCGGATGACGTCAAACCTTTGCCCACATCCGCACTGTCCGAAATCATGGACTCAGGGAAAAAGAGCTGTGAAAGTGTCAAAGTAAAGTTAGCTCTCAAGAAAATTGCTGATTTATAAAATCCTGGAGCAGTTTTGTGCAAGAACCTGCTCGCCAATTATTTCATCACTCTCTGATCAAGATTAGGCTTTAGGGCATTCATTTACTCTGGCTCTTCCTCGTGGAGACTGTGTGGGCACAACCTACAGAGAGCTGCATGTGAGTGGGAGGATTCACTGCCAACTGTCACTTTAACATGATCCTGATGATGGATGAGCTAATGCAATAATAAAATCTAAAGGCACAAATTAAATAAGGCTTGTACAGTCATGCAGCTCAATGCATATCAAAACACCTCTACAGAATCTACAGGAACAGTGCATGGTCAGCACAGTAAGGGAAAATAAACTTTATCTTTAGGATTGCTCTCTTGCAGTGGAAAATATTTTGTGTTAATTTGTGCACTTATTTTACTAGTGTGTATGGGTAGATACTGTACCAGTTTACTTTAGTACCTGTAGTATTTTAACTATATCTGCTTATAAATACTGATTAGTGAGCAATAGTTTTCCAGTAACCAAAAGTCTAATTATTTACTTCCTATGATACACTAGGTTTCAAAACTTTTTGTTCATGTTCTATACCAAAACTTTCGTTTTTCTAGATACCACAGAGAGATTTCTTGCACTTACATTAAATACCATGAACTTATCTTAAGTTAAAACATACCGTTGGCTTTCTGAAGAACTCATATTTTGCGTAGTTTTTGCGGAACACCAGCCTGGTGTCAGCTTTGAGGGACCACGTGGACTGAACCTCCCACACGACCTCATGGTCCTCCAGACACCTCTCTGTCAATATAAAGACACTTTCACTTTTACAAAGCTGCAGTCTACAACCTCACAGGTCTTACCTAGTCCTAGGTCTGTCACAATAACTGATTCTCAAGTATGATAGTGCTACATACACATACAAATTATATATGTTATTATTAAAGAAAACATGAGCTGCAATAAAAAAAAAAAAACTTAATTACATCACAAACTTAGTATGTACAATTAAGATTAGCAGTTACTCATTCAATCCTCTACAGTTCCCCACTAATGCACAATGTACACAATAAATATTCAGCCCCAAAAAATACAGCTCCAGCTTTTACTGTATATATTGAACAATAAGTCAATATAGTGTTTATGGTGACAGGTGGTACCTAGTCCCAGAGCAGGGTGGACCTCCAGAAGAGCCCAGTTCTCCTGGTCGCTGCAGTGGGCCGTCTGCACCAACATGTGGCACACATCTCGAGCTGTGGCCTCAGGACTCACCCACACAGACCTGCTGTGGCTGTCCTCTCCATACACTTTTATTAGCTATGGAAAAAAAAGGAGCAGAGATCAGAAAATACTATTCAGATGTGACATTTGAACAATGACGGTTGAAGTGTACAACAGATTATCTTTTCAAGACATTTCAGATATGCCCTTTAAAGCATTAAGAGTATTTTGTACTCAAACATTATGATGAAAAGCAAAAAAGGAACTCAATATTGGGCAGAGACCGTTGGAAGAAATACATTATATAGTTATGACAGTGCACATTTGTAAATTTATATAATGCAGTTGTCCCTATAGGGAAATGTGTCCTCTGCATTTGACCCATCCATCAATGTTTTTACCTTAGCTGGAGGATTTCATCTATTGTTTCTGGTTGGTCACTAAATTACATTTTTGTGGGTTGTTTGTCACTAGCAGGGGACATTTAGCCTGCTGAGCGAAATACAAAGAAGTGACCGCCAACAAGTAATGTTATGAGAGTGCAGGCTGGCCTGTGTTATTCTGTAAGGCAAATGACAATTGATAGGGCTACTGTATTTTTAATTGGCTTGTTGATTACATGGTCTAAATTTACAGTTACATTTTAGGTGAGTAGTTGTAAATGCAAATATTATCAGCTGACAGAAAATTATGCAGAAGAGCAAAAAGTTTAACACTGAGCACGGCAGTCAAGTTGTACCACGCGACTTAAGACTTAAACTCTGCTGTTCTGGCCTTGCACAGATGCTCTTACTGTAGGCCTGGGAGAGGAGCCAAAACCTGTCGCCAAAAAACTGTCAAGAGTAACGCAGTGGCAGACAGAATGCTGTATTTAACATGTTATAAACGCCCCAAGACAACACAATCTCAAATGTCAACCTGGCACCCAAGATGTTTTTGAGTTTTCATCTCGTCATCCATCTTAACTGACTTAAGATGCTTGGCAACAGTTTACAAACACAAAAGCTGCCAAGGAGTGAGCAAATGTGTCAAATTTAGTTTTATTACATACAAAACATACATTGTTTATATTATGATATATATTGAATTATTCATTATGAATAGAATGAATAATTCTCTCTATAGAAGGTTTTGTATTATGATAAATAAACCATAGATGGAGCTAGCATAAATTCAGCCTGGAAGTTCCGGACTACCTCACCGTTTCTCTAGAGTTTCATCCAATCAGCGCCCAGTCTGCCCAATTTAAACCCCCATTGCAGGTGCACGCCTGCTTCGGTTTGTGCCCCATCTCCTCTTCAGCACCACCTCAGCTTCTTATCATCTCATCCACTTCACTCTCCTCAGCCTCACCTCTACCACCTCCAGTGTCCAGGCCATGGGGGAAAAACAATTCCTAAACGCCATCTAATCGACCACACCCTTCATCGCAATGCCTTCTGTCAGGGTCTGAGAGCCAAAGATAACTAAATAAAGCTTTTTAATACTTTTCTTTGTCTCTGTCTAAGTCTCTCCAGGTTGAAATATAATGATAATAATTTACTGAGTACAGCTGGCACTAGGGCTGGGCAATACAGAAAAAACAAACCAAAAACAACATGTTTTTTACTGACAGAGGAGAGGTCAGATGCAAGCTTAGCACTGGTGATAAGTGATGATTGAATCTTGTCTCTAACCTGAAAATGAATTTAAAAAAAAAATAATAATAAATAGCAGGCTGGATTAATGTTAAAACTTAATGCTGCTACATGTTTAACATTATTAAAATGGACCAATGCCTTTGCTGAGGTTTACACTCTCAGAAAGTATGCTCTTTTAAGTTAGTAGTTCATTTTACTTATTCAATTCATAGCTTTCTTCAGACAAAATTTTTACCCTACTACTGTATCTGAAGTAAAGTACTCTTTGGAGGTCATGTGTCCATTCCAGTCAGTGCAGAGGTGACGTGGGTACAGGTAACTGAAAGGTGAGGGAGTTTTCTCATGTGTGACGCTGCGTCCGTCTCAACTAAACACAGAGAAAACAAACCAGTCTGACCCGAAACCTGCCAGTCAACATGACGAGACTGGTCTGGTGAGTGAGACCTGTAATGGCCAAATCCCAAATATAGAGGGACAATGAGAAAATGTTCGACGTAATTGGACTTAATGGAGGGTCTCGAAATGACATGACAAGGGGTGTGTAACCAGGCATGCAAACTCTGTCAGTGTGGGTTGACAATGTATTTTGAGTGACACAGTAAATACATGGTGATTTGGGAGGCAGTCTCTTGTATGGTGGCAAGATTTGACAGTAGCTGAAGATTTTTGAGAGATGAAAAATGCATGTCTATAGAATATAAAAAGATATAGAAGCCACAATAGCAAAAGAAATTTAAATTCTGTCAACTGGACAAATGTTTTCGAATAAAGACGTTTCATTGCTCATGCAAGTGGCTCCTTCAGTTTGACCCAAACTTCTGAACTGAAGAAATCACAGAAAGAACTTTTGTCCAGTTGACAGAATTGAAATTTCTTTTGCTATGTATACGGCCTGGACGACTGAGGGATTACACAAAGAAACCACAACAGTGTATTAAACCTCACCCAATAGTGTCATTGTGCCACTGGGCAAAACATTGCAATCATATTGCACACTACAGTCAGATTATTATTGGGTTTCAGATGACATCACTGCATTTTAGTCAATAATATTTAATACTGATGGGAACAGCTAAAATGACTATTCTAAAGCAGATTGTAATCAGATTGTTGTAATACAGTGAGTTCTTAGGCTTAGTCACTAACAGAAATTATCAGGTTTTGGATCAACATTTGGAAGTTTACCTTTTGGATATTTTAGATATGTTTTCAATGGGGAAAACTGGCCCCTTCCCCCATACTTACATAATATTCTCAGCCCTATGTGTTGAGATTGGGACAGGTCAAATGAATGTATATGTATATATTTTTTTTTATTTTGCAGTTGCCTCATGTGGTTCAGTGAAATAATGAACTTTATCATGAATATAAATTATTAAAATTTTGTGGATTTTCAGCATTACTGTACTTTTGAACATTATACAGTGAGACTGGTACAGATACAGCTCAGCACATCCTGACCCAAAGAGGCAACAGTTTTTAAATAGACAAATATTAGTATGTGACCAACTCAGTTAACATTTTCTGTTTTTTAATGGCAATACATTTTCATTTGGTTTTATGTGTCTTGGACCCTACAATCGAAAATCCAAAACTTCATGATGTTTTGCACAGTTTTTACTCTAGTATTTAGTTTACAGAAAGTATTCAGACCTACACAGCAACTCAGTTAACACTGGGTTAACTACTAACAAAACAAAACAAATGCAATGAGTTTAAACATAACCCAACGGCAAAATCCTAGTAGACATCTCATTACACCTGCTCTTCAGTTTCATAATTGCTCTGCGTTAGTAAACAAAAGTAGATTATTTTGGTGACGGACAGAAAAGCAGGTCTGTCGTGATTATGTTGGCCTTCTTTCCACTCACAAACACTGGCAGACGAAGCGTGCAATTAAAAAAGTCACCCTGGGGTGCTCTGGTACTGCTGTGTGACTTCAGCTGGTTCATGCACCCTTCTGGACAGGAATATTGTGAGGATATAAATAAGAAAACCTTTATTTGTACAAAAGATCATTTATATGTTTTGTTCATTTAATTTTTTTATAGGTACAGCTCATTTGGGCTTTGATTACATTAATTATTTAGCCTCTTCTATCAGATGAGAGTGTGCTTGCTGTTTTTTAGTATTATGCAGTTAAGGAAAATGTATTGTTAAACTTGGGACTCTTTAAAGATGCACCATGTAATTTTTCTGGTGGAGGGTCCGCCATCTGCTTGTCTCCGTGGAGATGTTATTGCTTTGTCTGGAATGTTTCACAGTATTGTATTAAACCTTTCTATCTTCACGCAGACCAAACCAGACCAAGATACAAGTCAGATCTGTGGAGAGGCAACCCCACTCACAGTCAGAATGCCTGTTTTTCTTTGTATTTTTGAGCTATAAAACCACCTGCAATTTAATAAATGTAAGGTAGAGCTGTTTAATGTCATACTGTGGAACATTCCAGGCAGAGTAGTTACATCTCCATAGAAACAAGCAGATGATGGACCATCAACCAGAAAAGTTACACAGTGCACCTTTCAGTTTGACTTGATGACTACATACTTGTTGTAAATGGCCTGCATGGGATTTAAACATATTATAGCCTAGTACCATATGTTTTTTCTTCACTTGTTAAATTCAGTGATGAGAGAAAAGTCTTTAGTCAGCACAAATGTTCTCAACTCACGTGTTTGTTGCCTGCGGACGGCGGCAGGGAGCTGATGACAGGTGATTTTGACGGGCTGCACAGCTCTGGAAAAGGGTTAGGTATTGAAGGAACTGAAGAAGAAAAGGCCTCTAGACCTCGGCTTCTGTGGAATAACAAAGTATCAATGTATTGTGTATGTAAACAATAGAACAAGGCAATATCATTAAAAAGCAATGACAAACAGGACGTGATGCTTTACTGGTATTAGTATGTTTATTCCTCGTGTAGACTTGGTTTGATCCTGTTCTAGTCCTGCTTTAATCCTGTTCTAATTCAGGGTTTGTTCCGAGTTTAGTCCCAGTGTTGATGTGGTGGCCATTGTGGACCACTGAGATCCAACAGCTAACATTATTTTAAGTGAATTATTAATTTAGTATTGTTAAAATGTTAACGTTTCAGTGGACGAAATTCATTTACTGTATACGTGGACTGTAATAGAATGATGTGTGCATTCACTTATGTAAGATAAAATTATGACATACAGAATATCATGAAGATAGCCATCATAAAAGAATTAAATCTTGACTTCAATTACAATATTCTCATGACTGCCTCTCATTCAATAAAATTAATACCCAGATACTAATAGATACTGTAACTGCTATTGAATACTAACTTAAGCAAGTACTGATACTGAAAAGAATTATATTTATTAATAAGTTAAACAGTTTGGAATAGATTAAGAATGGTTTTGATCTTTAGAATCAGTATAAGACCACATGGCAATATAAAAAAAACTATATTTTGTGTTAAAAATGACATTCTATTGTATAACAAGGATTGTTTTTAATCATCATTGCGGTATCAACATCGGCATAAACATCAAGTTTGACATATCATGACGACACTACTCAGGTTTCATTTTGATTTGCCTTCCTGTAATTAATTACTAAGGTAGCTTTACAACTTCTGTGAGTGTTTACGTGTCAAGGCGAAGTCATAAAAAGGCTTGTCTTAAACATTTACCAGCAAAGGTCAAAAAACACACCAGCTCCAATAGCTCAGCAAAACAAGGAAACGAAACCAAACTATCCAACCGCCCAGGTCTATTTCTGACTCCTACTTCACAGTACAACCCCTGTTTGAATACAAATAAAAGATAGCAGCCTCATTGTCTTGTAAGAAACCAGTCACTTCTTTACACACTTGATGACGTGATTTACGACTTAAAGTTTGAGTCACCATAAAGTCAACAGCCACCAGCTCCCAGTTTTATTGACTCACGTCCGCTGTAAATGAAGCAATCTAATCCTCATCTGTGACAAATATTTTCAGCATTTTGTTTGTCACCAAGATGTGGTGTAGTAACATGTAATAATTATACTGTAGTTCAATTATTGGAGTAACTTTCCACACAATTGTATTTATTAAACAAGTTTTCTTTGGCTCTGCCTGTCTGATCTATGCCAAAACATAAATCACTTTTTGTTTAGTTATGCCAAGGCGTGGTTAACATGACAAAAAAATAAATAATGTTTTTCCCTCGTATTGATTCATCATAATTATCCATTTCATTTTAGTTAGTGGCGTTTTTCCTGTTAAAAACAAATAAAAGTGGCTTTAAAGGTCCTATACTATGACTGTTGTGAGGTTTACACCATGTTACACTGATGTTACCTCCTCAAAAACATACCCAGACTTGTGCTTGTTTCATTCACACATTTTTTGAGTAACCTTTTTATTATTGTTAGTCTGCCTACACTTTCAAAATTCTCTGTTCCGCATGGTGATGTCATGAAGCGGTACTTTTGGAGTTAACTACCTTTTACTTTTTGTTTATTTGAGATTGGCAATTTCAGGCCTGAAATGATTCTAGTGAAGGTGTATGAAGTTTAAAAACGCAGTGGAGCCTGTATTGCTACATGGCATCACAAGGTGGAATAGAGAGTTTTCTGTTTGAGAGAAGAACTAAATGCCTAAATCTGCAGAGTTTGTGTGCTAAACATGTGTCAGTGAAAATACTCCGGGTATGTTTTTGATAACAACATTATAACATAGATCAGAAAACTGCGTAATATGGGCACTTTAATATTAATCTCTTAAACTCTTAAAAAACAGACATTTAGCCAAGCCCAAACTCCCCTCCACAGCTCTTGCTCATAGAATATTGGTTATAAACCTTTCAATTAAAAGGACCCATGCAAATCACTGGCGTTAAAACTTGCTTTAATTAAAATTTGATTAATTACACAGTGCTAATTATACCTAAGCAAGATTGTACATTACATGAGTTCATTTTGCCGTCCCCCCCGTGCTGGTGGTCCATTACACTATAGTACCTGTTTGCAGAGATGAGGATGGGCTGTGAGCGGCGCACTGAGGTAGATTCAGAGACCAGAGGAGCCAGAGTCAGAGTGGAGCCTCTGAGAAAAGACTCTTCTTCTGGGGAACCATTCCTGTCGGCACCTTCGAAAACCTCCGTCCACGGACCTGCTACCTCCATCATGTCAGCAACGCAGGGGTGGTGTGAAGGCAATGTACAAAATCTGAATAGAGGAAAGCAGATAATTACAGGTTAACTCAAAAAAGATCGATTGTTACTCAAGAAGAGATCATTAAAGGGCCAATATTATAGTATTTTCTGATCTATGTTATAATGTTGTTTCCTCATCAAAAAAATGCATAAAGTTTTGTTTTGCTTCATTCACACATGTTTAACACACAGATCCTGCATATTTAGGTTCTTCTCTCAAACTTAAAACACTCTGTTCCACCTTGTGATGTCATGTGATAAAACAGGAAATGCTCCACTGTATTTGTAAACATACACCTTCACTGGAATCATTTGGATGATTTCAGACCTGAAATTTCTCATCTCTACTGAATTTAAAATGAAATAAAATGTTGTTGTTAACTTAAAAAACTACTGCTTGGAGATGTAGACAGACATAATAATGCAGGATTACTCAAACATGTGTGAATCAAACAAAACACAACTCCAGGTATGTTGTTGAAGAGGTAACAGCATTAGAACATGTCTTAAAGGTCACAAAACAAAACAGAACTTACTCACGTGTTTTTCTTTTTGAATTAAGTTACAGGAAATGTGAAAGGGACATAATACATTTGGACAATACAAACGATGACAGATAAGCTGTTATTATTACCATTAGCAATTAGCAATAATAGTAGGAGAGAGCCTGTATAAAACGTTAAGAGTCAGTCTGGCACCTCAGTGAAGTGTTGCCAATCCATCTAATTTACGATATTGTAATTACTACAGTTTACTGCAGCCAAGTCATCAAGTTCACTGAGGATGAGGACTAAACCAGTGCGCCCAGAAAAACACACAAACAGAGGGACAATATGCAAATTCCTCAATGAATGGGAACCAAACCTGGGACCTTCCTTTGTTATTAAGCCAGTGGCCTAAAGTAGTTTCAGTATTATCTTTTATGGTATTATATCTCTGTAACAATATATCATGTTTCAAAATGTGTTATTGTGACAGGCCTACGTGAGCCAGGCTGGCGCCACCTAGTGCCTCTGCTCAATTTCATTTCTCTCAAGCAACTAGGTCAGGAATCAGAATAAACTAGACAGTTTGCAAGAACCCCAAGTGCAAGTTCAGGCACCAGCCAATCAGCCATACATTCTGTGTTGGCAATGATTCCCAAGATCGAGGATTTAAAGCTGGAACAAAGAGAATGTTTGGTGAATTTTACCAAGGGGAAAGTCATTATTGCCCTACGTCCTACAGGATTTGGGAAAAGCTTAATATACCAGTTAGCCCCGTTAGTGGCACATTACACACGACCAAATAGCAGTGATTGGTTAAATAAAAAATGTACTCGCCTACCATCGAGCGAACAAATCCTAATTCTGTAAGGCTGATGAATCAGACTAGGCCTACGCAGGCACCCAGAGCAAAAGTAAGTGAACTCAGTGACTGTCCTACTTGGGTGGCAGATGCGTCACATAATGACAAGGCCCTTATAAAAATGTATTAATACCTGCTAATTAACCATATTATCGGACAATAGTACAAGCTACACAAACAGGATGAGTCACACTGCCCTTACTCAAAACAGACAAGACATAAAACCAAAAACAGCAACACACAATCTTTTTCTACACATTTTAAAAGAGCCTATACTTCGCAAAATTTACTCTTGTGAGCGTTAAACCATGTTACAATATTGTTACCTCCTCAAAAACATACATGGAGTTGTTTTTTTGTTTCATTCAAACATGTTTAAGTAATCCATAGTGTCTGTCTACATCTCCAAAAATCTAAATGCTCTGTTCCACTTTGCGATGTCATGTAGTAGTAGTTTTCAGCTCCTTTTACTTTTGTTTAGAAGATTTGGGCAATTCCAGGGCAGAAATTATCCAAATGATTCTGGTAAAAGTGTATGGAATTTAAAAAGATTATGGAGTTTGAGAGAAGTACTGAGTGTAAATCTGCAGGGTTTGTGTGTTAAACACGTGTGAATGAAACAAAACAACTCCAAGTATGTAGAAGAGGAAACAACATTGTAACATAGATTAGAAAATAATCATATGAGCCCTTTAAAAACAGCTACTGGGTGTGGTTAAAATGTATTCCATGTTTTAGTTTATACCCAGTAAATAATCTAAAAAGTGTATATTTCTGAACCTCTGGAAATGTTGCAAGCTACAATACAGTAAAACAACTTTATTTGCGCATCAACTCTCGTCACCTCATTCTCATGTCTATAAAACCTTCATCGTAGATTTGTGGACTTTAAAATAAGCTTTAAATCATTTGCTCCAAACTCAGTCGTAAAAGTAATTTATAAACAGGAAACAGGAATCAACAGCCAATCTGCACCTCGCTGTAAACATTGATAAATGAGCTCTGCCCGCGCTCACACAAAGATGAAGCACTGCGGATGTTGCTGTTACAGAAATGCACGATTTAGAACAACTGTAGGAAATACTGCAATTACTGCTAAATTACTTTCAAATGTCAAACTTCCATCCAGAGCCTTAACAGTGTTATGCTTAAAAATAATTAAAATACATGGAAACTGCAAAAGCATCATGGTGTCTGTTGTTATATGACTAATAGTATTTCTACTTCTGTATGCTTTCTCATACTTTTCCACCAATATGGATACATATATTAATACAAAAAAATAAAGTAACCTGGGTATTGAAAAGTGTATAGAAGTGGGCTACCAAATACAAAAGGATGCAACAGTATTACAGAAATCTGGGATAATAATCTAAAATGGTTTAAAGTCAAGGTGGGGGCTTTTGAGTGGAGTTTGAGATTATCCCAGTATCTGGTTTAGAGATAGACCGATATATTCGTTGGCCAATATTTGAACTTTTTAGTGTATCAGCTATCAGCCTTAAATCTCCAACAGAAGCTAGTTATTTGTTTGGCCAACCAGCTGCCTCCATATGTATAAGAGTATATGCATAAAGCTTTATTTGACCACTCAAGTTTACACTACTCTCTTACCCAGGTAGTAGTAAAACAAGATTATGGAGTTTGTACCAAATTCAAATGGGATAATCTGGCTGTATCAACAAAAGGGTAGCTCACAGATGCGCTGATTGGAGAATGCAAAATGTCATTAAATTAAAAAATTAAATTTTGATGAACAGTGATACAGTTTACAGTTTACTGCATTTCACTACCGCCATGAGCTTTCTGTTTGTGCTTGTGTTTATTACTATGCAGATCAGGCAGCAGGTAAGATAAGAAGACCAGACAGTAGCTCTTTGATCAGACTTGGAGGTAGCTCAACTCTCTCTCCATCTCTCTTTCCCACCCATCCTCTACCCTTCTTTTTCTTTCTCTCTCCCCCACAGACATGTCTGAATATGTAAACTGTAGTAGATTGTCTATTACACTCATCTCCAGAGCAGCAGCAGTAGGTGAATTACATCATCTTATGGTCAGTGGCAAATACAAAGAGGCTCACAGTGCACACTAGGGGAAGCCCTAGTGTTGTAACAACCAGCCACAAGAACTGGAAGTGAAATAGGCAGACTTTTTATTTAGTCACTGGGCTGGCAGTTCACGTCTGAAATGTTCACCATGATTAAGTGATGAGTAATTCAATGAGTTAGAATTAAACACAGACACTTTACGAGAAGATTTGTCATAGAACTTCTTTCCATATATAAGTAAATCTAGCACACTTTCACAAAATTCTTACAGAACTGAAACGTGAAGTCCTAAACACATCAATGGGACTTCTGAACTTGAATTAACCCGAGTCTCACGCAAATAAGTCCCACACACTTCTCCTGTCCCTCCTAGCACCTGTTCCGTAGCGATAGAGGCTTATTTTCTTCAAAGGAAACGTAGACACCTACCTGAGAAATATGTGTTGGCACCCGGAGTTCAGCTGTCATGCATCACCTTCTAATCCCACACACTCGCAGTTTGTGATCGTCACACACAAATCTGAACGCTACTTCAAAATGCCAGCAGCATTTTCGTGAGTTTAGGCGCTTCCCGCCGTGAGTGGGCGGGGCCTGTTAGTCAGGTGAGCCAGGTAGCCCCGCCCCAACCTTTTGGTGCAAGATTAAACCATATTGTAGAAAGTTTCAGAGTTTGTTTGTTTTTTCTATTTAATTTTGCAGCACTTAGTAGGCCCAGTTCTTATCCCACCCAAATACTTTACATTAAAATCAACACAGTATAATATTTTTGAGTAGGCCTATTATATATGTATTCAACTGTAGGATACGTGACTGAACTAGTGTCACCACTTTTATTGCAACGTTCACCACTCATATCATTCGCTCCTTTTTTTGCTGCTTCCTTCCTTGTTTGACGTTTTTAAATTAGGTCTACTCTGAAAAACAACATACTATTATCAGCAACAGTTCAGTCATCCGCTTTTTCAATGGGGCTTTGTCTCCATCTAGTGGACACGAATAAACTTGACGGCGAAAAACATGTTTACATTTGCAAGTTACACTTTAACATTTTAACCTAAAGCAAGTAACACATTTATAGACCCACCAATTTCAGCCAATATGTAGCTAAAGAGTAACCAACAAGGACTGGAAGATTTAGATGCAAATGTGTGGTGTAAAAACTGAAAAGCTATGAGCAAATAACTTCTTAACTTCAGGGCTTTGGGTCAAATTGTGTTTATTAATGTGATCAGGAAATCCCCACAGAAACAGTTTACAGGGTACTTACAGATTTACAATCATCCTTATGACAGAAGTGCCAGCTTTACCCCCATTGGTTCAACACTGAGGACGCCTGAAATCTCACAACCAGTTTGGCCTGCACACCCCTACACAGGTACACCAGTCCCTCCAACTTTTCAGACGAGGGGCCGCTGTGAGTTGTAGTCATGTTGGTTTTAAGTAATCAGTCATGAAATATGCAGTGCAGGAGTCAGCAAACACCCAGACTAGGTTTCCTCTTTTCAATCGTCTGGCCTATTCACAGTTATTGAGCCTTCATTTGTGGTGCCATCCTTCATCCCAACCAGGAAATTACAGACTACTGGATGCTTTCCGATTCTCAGGTCAATGTAAAACTGCGGTTTATGACAGTAGGCCCTCAAAATGCACAACTTTCACTTAAGATTTGTCATACTGCTCAAATGCATTTGGTTCAGCAGTCATTATACAAATAGAAAGATGCTAAAACTAGTCACAGAAAATAAACATATGTAACATCGTTTAAAGGAATATAATGTGAAGCCTGTGAATGTAGGAGGACACCTGTCGCCACCTGAACAGCTGAAAGAATGTGCGAAATGCCCAAGACCTTTTTTCACCAACCCAAGAACAGTCATGGTAATGATTAAAAAGGTCCTCCAATAGATCCAATTCAAATGAAGGAGATTTAACATAACAGAATTGCATACAGTTTGAATTTTTAAAGTACATTTTATTCTCTTCAATTCAACCGAGATTGTTGGCTTGCCTTGTGCTTCACGGTCATACTTAGTGGGGAGAAAGGTAGTGTTCATCCAAGAACCATTTGCTAAGAATAATCTGTTATATTCCAATATAATAATAAAAACAAAGAGCATAATTTTCAAAGGACAGCAGAATGAACGAGGATGTGCGTTCTGTGATTTGCTTTGACCTGATACAGGTTAAGATGCAATTTACTGAAATCACTGAGTGGTGGGCTAATAAGGTTTGTAAATCAAAGGTTAAATTGAACTAGCATTCATTCTACATCTGGTGCACTTTTCAAAGAGTATCCTACAGCGGGAGGAGAGCTTGCACCCTTGCTCGTTCTTGGCCTTATGAAAACCATGCTTTTCTCTGCAGAGTAAGGGTGGGGAGAAGGGGGTCGTGCAAGACTGGAAGTGGGGGTAGACTGAGTATGGTGGTTCGATGATGAGGTGGGGCTTGAGAAACCGGACTGCTGATTCCACAGGAGGTGTGTAAAAGGCACGCCAGGGTTACTCCCAATCCCAGCCAACGTACACAGAGACGCCTTCACACCCACACGCACTCGCTGGACACACTAGGTACACACACGCACACCCACGCGCACACACAAGCAGCACAGGCTAGAGCCCCGGGAGCACTGACAATGGGAGGAAGCAGGAGGAAGTCGGTAGGGAATGAAAGATGTTCTCGGAAGAAAAAGAGCTGGCGTTCAAAGTTGGGTAAAAGGTTTGGGGCGCAAGGGGCCTTAATCCGGTGCTGCCACTGTGTTGAAACAGAAAAAAATAAACAACAAACAAAAAATAATAAATCAAAACTGGTGGAATGGATCATTTCGGGGAGTTCTTCAGCTGGTTGGAGAGCCAGTCCAAGCCCTCGTACAAGCCGTCTCCGCTGGTGGCGCAGGTGGCCTGGATGTACCAGTTACGGTGACGAAGTGAATGCAAACCCAGCTTGTCTGTGATCTCTGCAGCGTTCATAGCGTTGGGTAGATCCTAAAATAACAGAAAAATATAATAATTAGCATTTTTAAAAACAAAAAACATCTACATATTTATGCTAAATATACTATACTAAACAACCATACCTGTTTATTTGCAAAAACAAGCAGCACGGCATCTCTGAGCTCATCTTCGGAAAGCATTCTGGACAATTCTTCCCGTGCCTCGTTCACTCTCTCTCTGTCGTTGCTGTCCACAACAAATATAAGCCCTGCCAACAGGAGCACAAGTTAACACCTGCACAGCTTTTTGAGTCACTGAGAAGAATCTATCTAAACTAAAATACCAAGCAATTAGGCAAAAGTCAAATTAATCCACATCCACAATCATTGCTCAAGTGCACAGACAGTGCTCTGTTTGGATACTAGCTTGACTTCAGGAAAGCCATATGCAAACTTGTTTAGTCAAATTAATCTTAAAATCTCGTACTATTACACTTGTGTTCTGTACCAGACTATTCAGAAAGATACAATAGGCCTTTAGAAGAGCTATGCATTGGATACAGACACCCAGACAGAGTGAATATTAAAATATATGAAAATGTGAAAGAAATTGTAACTAGTTTGTCCGCCTTTGGATAATAATGTAACAGGGACATCTATAGACAGGATTGTTTAAAATCAGGGTTAGTAAGAGTTTAAAAAAAAAAAAAAAAAAAAAAAAGTCCTTCTCACCTTGAGTGTTCTGGAAGTAGTGGCGCCACAGTGGCCTGATTTTGTCCTGACCGCCTACGTCCCACACTGTGAAGCTGATGTTCTTGTATTCTACAGTTTCAACATTAAAACCTAAACAGAAACAGAGTCCAAAAATTATCAAAAGAATATAAAAGACACATTGGTGTAGTGGCTATGGGGACGTTAAAGGGAAATGTTACTTTAGAGGACAAATGAAAAAAGAGCCTAAAGGGAGGTGAAAAGCAAACAGTGAGAGCAAGCAAGTCAGGCATCCATACCAATGGTGGGAATGGTGGTGACTATCTCTCCGAGTTTCAGTTTATACAGGATGGTTGTTTTTCCAGCAGCATCAAGCCCCACCATAAGAATTCTCATCTCTTTTTTGCCAAAAAGGCCTTTGAATATCTGCCCAAACATATTCCCCATGGTGACGAAGCTGTAAAACACAGAAAACAGTCAGGTAAATACTGTGGACACTAAAAATACAGTTGTACATTTGAGATGTGCAAAGAGGTTTATGGGAGCATTGGTATTTGACATATAAGGGGCTTTCTATAAGTATAAGTACAAATCAACATCCAACTCTGCCTATATTAATCAACCACGGCGCGTTTCACCAACAAAATCGCATCTTTATCCAGAGAAATAGGAAACTAGTGAGGCTGCCTTTGAGGTGTGCACAAATAGTTGTTAGAACTGTGAGCTAGCCTGGACAAGTGAATCACCGATCAGCCGATAAGGTGGGCCTGTTCCAGCTGCAAATTCCGAGTCTGTCGCCCAAAAGTCAACAGAGGTTAGCCTTCAGGCTAAATACCAATAAGATACGTTTGCCGATTGGACCACTTCACCAACAAAACAACAGCCATCTGCCTTAATATAAATAATACGGCATTTTAAAAAAGCTGGTTTCATTCATGGGCTTGAAAAGCCTGCCTTAGCATTAGCTACAACTAATGCTTAGCCGTCCTCCGTTTCAGGGCGGATGCTTCGGCTAAACTCCGGTTAGCCTCAACACAGAAGCACAGCTGGTAAATAATATACTCACTAGTCACGTTTACCCACGACGATTGACCAGTGAAATTAACAGATATATAAACGGATTTCAAATAAGACACGACTGAAATAGGCTAACTTAAACAGACATTTTTGACCTGTTCACGATACGGGAACTGTTTTAGCAGCCTGCTAATGCCGCTAGCATTAGCTGAATGCCGCGTCACAGTAGAAGGGCTACACTGTGGTGCGGTGTACAGCCCAAGAAACATCACATTTCAAGAAGAAACTCCTGGTGTACTTTGTTAGAAAAAACGTGGTTAAACAACGAGCGATAATGACGATTATTACCTTTAGAAAGGGCAGCTTCTCGATCTTTCCGTTATCTTACGCTGTCTCTCCAAAATGGCGTCTTGCGCATCCAGGGAGACACCGGCGCACAGGAACTTCCCACTTTCAAAACGGAGCCAATCAGCCGCGCAGAAGTGCTACAAGAGCCCGCCTCCGCCTCACCGACGTCCAATCACAGCTCGAGCTGTTTCCGGGTTACACATTGCACAAAATGTCGAGGAAGTAACGGCATACAAGTTTATTCAAGTTTCAGCTGCAGTTACAGAGAAGTAGTAAACAACTGAGCATTTTGGGCTTTATGCAACAACTGTGAAGTTGCCAGTATCAAGCATTCAAACAAAAGAGAAACCTGACGAATAAACTAGTAATTGCTCTTAACGGTGGTGCTGTGGGGCAAAGACTCACTGCCAATAAAATAAATACCCTACAGGCGTCCAAAGATTTTAATTGGGGACCATAAAACGTTGAGAGTGAAGGGCCTGAGCTTGTCATATTAAGATCAGATCTGGAATTGCAACTTTTAGAACTTGTTTTAACATAAGTAGCCTTCACAACTATGACAATTTGAGACTATTCAGCCTGGGTACCATCAAAATTATGTGGATACCGCAGATTATATACCATGCCATGAAACGGTGACATTCCTAAAATCCTTATTTAGATCTATGTTGTTAATCATGTGATATGATGTGTCATAAGGTCTTTCAGTTGAACATGTGATAAGTCACATGTGCCTTTTGGCCCTTTTCGTTGAATGAAATGACATGGTTATTAAAGTGGTGTTAAAATGGGGCAATATGCTACTACACTGTTTTATGGAATACTTAGTTTGTTTTTCCTGCTTTTTCTTTTTCACGAATTAAAACATTTCATTTTGTCAGAGGAAAAAGGATGGAAACTGTAGATTTGTATTTTAAACAGTTTATTACAAAAATATGAATGGAATATTCTACTAAGAAACTGGCCATTTAGTTAGGTTTTTTTTTCTTTGTTTGTTTTTTTTAATAAGGTGCCTGTATAACAGATTATATTGCACACAACTGTGCAAACAACACAGAACAATATGTACACATTTTCATTCCCGTAGTTCAAGTTTTCCATGTTTGACCCGCCAGTTCCAGCGCTGGCATCTGTTGGGGGCAGGGACACAGCGCAGCCATAAACCTGATGCTTTGATCTCTTGTTCAAATGAAACTAATTTCCTGTCCAGTGTCACCAAAGTGAAGGCCTCCTCTGAAATCTAAAGGGGATAAACATTACTTATAGATATATTTAACTGAGCACAATTTAGCCCATGGCATATTGTAAATAATGGACAATGTGTGTTCAAAACACTACCTGATTACTTATTCCAATTGCAACATGGCCGACTTTGACCTGGCGCTGTTCACGAATCCTCAGACACTGTCCTTGGATATCCTCAATCCAGATGTCAACACCTGGAAGAGTTTAACATTACAAAACCTAAGAACAATTCACTCAATCAGGTATCTTACTTTTCTTTTTTTGACTTGTACCTTCGAAACAATACGATGAGGGCTGGTGAGGTGAAGCTGTCCATTGCAGGTACCCATCTGCCTGGCTGTTACAAGAAGAAAAGACTCCAGAACTGAGGTCATCAGATGAACGATCAGAGTCCTGTGGAGAGGGTGTCTTCTAGTTTAGTTATATACATTGAAAATCTATACATAAACACACACATTATGATATAATACAAACATTGTCCGAAGCATCTATCTGTGAGGAGTCCGAGCAGCTAAAGCAAGATGGAGGGTCATCTCTGGGCTCAGGAGAGGGAGGCTGTACTGTGTTCCCCAAAGAAACACCTAGAGGAAAATCATTCAGCAAAAAAATTCAAAATTTCAACATGTAATTGCTCTTGTCTTACTCAGTGAGATTATTAATGCAACGTATAGGCCTCTAATTATAAGTTAGTGACTGAAGTTACTTTATTTTTATGTCAATCTGTTGCCACATATAATAGCATGAAATTAATATAAACCAAGTAGTAATAGAGGTCATATGCATTTAGAATACATGAGTTTACTGTACATTTTCTGGGGAGAGGAAAATTGGTGCATTGCTGTTTTAGTAGTAGGGGCAGATAGAAGAATAACAACCTTTTTCACTGATAATATGTCGATTTCTTTTTGTTAATTAATGGAACTTGTTTTCTGTGTTTTTAATAATTGTATCATGACTTTGATTGTGATAGTGTTTGTCTAGTCAATGTTTCTGTAAGGCACTTTGGCCAGCTGTGAAGCTTTTAAAGTGCTTTATTATGGTATGGTATGTAATGTTGTCTTTGTAAAATGTTTATAAAACATTATTGGTAATTTGACTGTCACTAACCTCTCCCAACTCACCATCTCTAAGGTACTCCAGCTCTTCTTCAGATCCCCACCAATCATCTTGAGTCTGTCCTTTTTGCAGTACAGGGAAGACATCTTTGAGATCACGAAAGTTTTCTGTGGACAACTCTTCATCCTCTTCCTCCTCTACCTCTCCATCCTCCTCCCAATCTCCTTCATAGTCTCTGTCAAATTTTAACCATTTCTCCTGTGTGTATTCCTCCTCTCCCATGTAAATATCCACTTCAGAGGACTCTGACCCTGTATCCCAGTCATTTTCATCTGCATTAATTAAGGATTTTGGTTCAACGTCACAGTCTTGTTCTGAGGTTGTCTCCCAGTGGCTGCCATCACTGTCCTCATCAGCTGCAACCTCTCTCCAAGGGCTAACCCAGTGCATTGTGGGAGATAAAGGAGCTCTGGATTTCCTGGAAGGGCAGGGGCATTCGGGCAACAGAGAGCTTGGATTGTCATTGTTTGGCTTCTTGGAAGAGTACAGCTTTTCACAGGCAATTTTAATAGACCAGGGACTCAAGCCTCCAACTGCAGAACAGAGTGGTTTCAATTTAGTTAAAGTCTTAGCAAAAGACCAAAGGGGTAATAACAGTAGAATATGTTATGGGTGTGTTTAAGCACATTTCTGATGCCATAACACATAAATGATTGTCAGATTTTTAATAAGTTATTCTTTACACACAGTCTTGAGGTGTGGTACCTGCTCTTAAGGCCTTGGTGGTTTTCTTGCGAAGAGACTTTGCAGATGATCGTTTATCGGGATCCTTCTTCAGCCCAGCCCTGAACACTTTGGCTGTGAAGTTATTGCAGTTGGATGGTACTTCCCACAGAGGCGGAGGCTCATTGGCAATCTATAATGTAACAAACCCAAATGCCAGAAAATAAATGATAAACAATTAATCATGAATAGAAAATAAACAACATTAGTGTTGGGACATGATAAAAGTGGAATTTAATGGAGACAAGTTATAGTAGGATGAAGGCTTCATAAAGCTATAAAAAAAACTATAAAATGTTGTAATGAAGAACTTGCCAAACTCTCTCTCTCATTAAAAAGAGGTTAAGGTTAGTAAGACTATTGTTATGGTGGTTATATTTGGGGATTACTTCAACTTATCTTTTTACACTAAAAATAAATACTTTGTAAATTTTGAATGACAAAAGGCAGAGTTTGTCCGAGACCTACACACCATTGGTCTTGAATGTAACACAACACTCCCTGCTCGATTTCATTGTAACCTGACACTAGCGTGGAGGTGTACCTGTAAGCACAGTGGGTGGGAATAGTAGCGGATCCAGGGCTGACACCCATTGAGCATGTGCAGCAACATACAGCAGCTGCTCCAAACATCTGCTTTGGCGCAGAGCTGGTCTCCCTGGGCAACCTCGGGAGCCATATGCGTCTCAGTGCCTGGGAAAGCAGAGCCTGTGAAGAGGAACGAGAAGAGACAAGGCCAAATGTGATCAACACAAGTCTTATATTTAAACATAATATAAAGCTCAAAGCAAATAGATTAACATTATCACAATGAAATTCTGACTTTTTTGTTTAATCTAACTGCTCTTCTGTTTAAAATTCTGTTTCCTAGACATTTTAGGCTAGGCCCATTTTTTGCACGTTATTTTACTTATTCATTATCAACATTGCATAGGCAGTTATTAGCCAAAGGTTTTTAAAGGTATTAGCCAAAGTACACAATGGACAATAGCAATTCAGCTGCACAAACAACCATTGATTACTCCATTCATTCATTTTGAATCGACAGAGACAATATAGATTCACAAGCAACTAACCTGGCATTATATTAAGACCACCTGCCTATCTATGCTTCTGACTAATGTCCCTATTGTGAAATTTGTCTTTAAGAGTGGTAATGTTTTTTTTTGTTTTGTTTTTATTAAATTCAAATGAAAGAACAACAGGCGCATAACAAGAACAAGGGAATATATAGACCTATGATATGACAATGTGACAAATTATGTAATGCTCTCTACATATCCTGTGTAAAAATTATTAAAGGTCCTATATTACGTAAAGATTAGTCTTGTGAGCTTTAAGTTATGTTAGAATGTTGTTACCTCCTCAAAAACATACCTGGAGGTGTGTTTTGTTTCATTCACACATGTAATTCTGGCTTATAAGTCTGTCTACATTTCCAAAGGTCAAAATGCTCTGTTCCACCTTGTGATATCATGATGTGGTAGTATTCAAGTTAACAGCTACATTTTACCTTTTGTTTACTGGAGATTGGCAATTCCATATCTGTATTACTACATGGCATCACAAGATGAAACAAAGTGTTTTCTGTTTGAGAAGAACTCAGCCTAAATATGCAGGATTTGTGTGTTAAACATGAGCAAATGAAACAAAACACAACTCCAGGTCTGTTTTTGATGAGGAAACAACATTAGCATAACATAGATCAGAAAATAGCACTGGCCCTTTGGTAATTGTTGCATGATGCATTGAAAAACAGTACTGGAGAATACACAGATGTGTGCATGTACAACATACACCCAAATCCACATAATACACATAGCATTGTTGACTTAGTGACCTGACTCACCCCTGAATGCCTTGGTGCTCCATCCATTGTCATCTAATGTTTCAGAGAGCCCAAAGTCACAGAGGAATGTGTGTGTGCAGTCCGCAGACAACAGCACGTTGTCAACTGGAATAAAATCAACACACAGGATTCAGGCCGACAGCGTGTTTTCATTCGTAGCTCATTATGATACGGTAGAGTGAGAAATCAGGAAGGCTGTCAGGCTCTGTCATAATGGTATAATGTAGTTTCTGCCTCATCTCCCTTCTGGGTGGTTTAAGGTAACATATCCAAAAATAAAGTACAGCTCAGGGAAAAATAAGAGAAGTTTCCAGTTTGATAAAGGTAGAACTGTAACATGTGGAACAACTAGATATGCCTTCAAAACCACTGACTGTAACTATATAGCAAAATCACTGAATGTCTGTCATCTTTAAACAATTTTTACTTCTAATGAGGATACGTCAAAACAAACCCTTTTGGAACCGTTATTGGAAACTGGATCTGGCAAACCAAAGCAAGAAGCCCATACTGATTTTACTGTAAATGTAAATATCTTTTACAGTAGGGCTGTGCAATTAAACACATTTTAATTTAGATTCTGTCATTTCTAATCATCAATGATATGCTTAGGTCTTCTTCAAGATGTCCACAGTCAAGTCTTGTCCAGTAAAAGTGTTTTGGAGCAGAGATCAGAATTTGGAGGAATACATGTGACTACTGTTTGTGTTAAATGTTTAAAAATATATATTGAAAGACATTTATTTGTTTTTAATAATAAATAAAACTGAATGAATGATGGTGATTGATCAGAATAAATCTGCATTACAATTTTATCAGTATTTGTTTGAATGTGTTTACTTCATGTAAAAGTAAAAAATAAATAAATAAATAAATAATAATCAAAAATTTAAAAAGGGAGATGAATAAATAACAATGGTTGTATTTCTCCCAGGTAGTGCAATCATGCAGTCAGTATATTTGGCTGTGTGAACCTGCCCGCAGTGTGGACAATGGGGCCTGTTTGAATCTTCTTCCATTCACAATCCTCTCAATGGAGATTAGACTGGGACAGAGCTGAGGTGTCAGTTTGGGATTAGGGACCATCAGAGGGGATGATGGTTGACAGAGGAGCTAGTAAGGCTTTACCATGGGATCCCATTCAGCGGGTGCAGCCAATGATATAGTATTCACTGTCATTGTTGTGTGTTTATTGGGTCATGGTTTAATGTTCAATCTTAAATCCTTTGACAATATTAGCAGAACTGAGTCAAAAGTATTCAACTGTTATTTACTGTGACTATAGAAACAGGTAGATAAAAATAGTATGAGCTATAATGTATTTACCATAGAAATGTTTTTGGAATAAATAGGGTGTCAAAAAACACAATAAAAAAGGAACCACCCAATAAGATACTGAGTCACTACTGGTAAATATAACTACGAAACCATAATGTCACAATATAAATTCAAGTAGTTTCGTATTTACTATGTAAACATTCCCATTGGTATAACATTAGGGTAACACTGAACAAAGGCCATGCTTGTGCTAATATCTGAATTGACTTGACTATATGGTGTTTATTAAAGTATATATACAAATTAAAGAATGACCTTTGACATCCAGGTGTAGCACTCTGATACTGTGAAGGTGTTCCAGCGCCTCTAGTGTTTGTAGCAGGTAATGCAGGGCCAAATCTTCAGGCAGTGAGTTCATCTCCTTCAAAAGTGTACCTAAACAAGCTAAACATAATAACAAAAAATTATTATATTTGAAACCAAACCAACCAAAATGTATACCAAGATCATTTTTACCTGGTTTTAAGTCCATGAACAGTACAATGTGTGGCCCCTCCCTCACTGCCCCAAACAGCTCTACAATGCGAGGGGAGTCCTGGGCACTCCATGTGTTAACCTCCTCACTGCTAAAACGACTGATAGGGATCTGAAATCAATTAAATATTAATAATAGCATAGTTTGATCCAATGGGCTTTGGGTGGTGCGCATTTGGAGATCATGACTCACCCTCTTGGCTGCACATGAAAATCCAGTCCTTTTGTCCTGAATGGAGAAGACGTCACCATAGGACCCATTCTGGATGTGATGGAGAACACAATACTCACGTCCCTCCCTGTACTGGAAGCTCCTTGGCTGCAATGCCTGAAAAAGGGACAAAGAGTTAAAGTTAGTGAAATCCAGACTTTAACAAATTGTGAAATGAAATGAAAAATGTTCATTGTTGTTGCTGTTGTTTCTTCTTTTGATAATGTAAGTGCAAAAAAAGCCTAATTCTGAGGATTATGACAAAAATGATATTCAGATTTCCACTGCATAATGGTACTTAACAGCTGTGATCGATTGGGCCATCAAAGTAATTATGGGTACATTTGAATTTGCAATATTCACTACAATAAGCATAGCATTGTTTTCTATAATCCCAAATAAATAAATAAAAATACAGGGACAACTAATATCTCTGGAAAAGATAATGTACATGATGTGTAAATTGAATTAGTATCATTATTTGCCTGGTCATTTGGCAGCTTTTAGTCAGATGCCAGATGTCAGACAACTCTTCCTGTCATGTATGACTGGAATATTATGGAATGGGAAGTGCATAAAGTGTCTTGCCCAAAACCACTAGAAAAGTGTCTCCTCAGGGGAGGTTTGAGCAAACTGCAAATACTGAACCCACTGGACCACTGCCTGAATGTGTAATCAACCATAGCTAATCATCACCAGTGTGGGACTGGAGAGAATGAATAATGGATGTGTGTTCAGAAAAGTACTATATGAAACCTATTATGTTCTCAAGTTAGAGTTAAAATAAATAAATATATACTGTATTTGAAATGAATGAATGAATAAATATATATTGTATATGAAGTAAATCAATTTTGTATTTTTTAATGCTGTTTTTTATCTCCCCAAATGTACTAAATTGAAGACAAAACAGCTTTAAAAAGGTGTTGGCGCACTATGTAACTTTTTTTGTGGAGAGTTCACCACCTGTTTGTCGCCATGAAAATGTTATGACTTTGTATGAAATGCTTCATAGTATATGGCATTAATCTATTTCAATGGAGTCAATTTTCAGTGTTTTTTTTATTGAATAAATGTTATTTAAATGATAAGTTTGATACCCTTTTGTGGAAAATTCCAGGCAAAGCAATAACATCTCCCTAGAGACAAGCTCATGCTTGCCTGACATCCACCAGAAATGTTACAGGGTGCACTTTTAACTATTATGTAAGAATTTAAAAAGTTTCACTGTTTAAGTTTTATAAGCCACAATAGTCATAAATAGTTATACTTCAGAAACACTGACACACTCTCTATGCATTTGTGTATAACTTACATTATGAAATAGAAGTCCTTCGTTGACAGCACTTTTGGAGTTCCACTCTCGGAGACTTTGCCTCATCACATCTTCAAAGTAAACCATGGCAAACATCTTTGGCATGTGAGTCACCCTCCCTCTGAGCTCCTCCAAAACTCCATCCATTTTATCCATATCATCTGCGCCAAAGTTCACATTGGAGGTGTGGTCCGGCATTCCCTGCAGGCCTTGAGCACACCCAGAGAAGCCGTTGGAGGAATTAGTTACACTCTCACAGCTGGATGGACAATAATTTGGATCCCGACTGAATCCGGATACACCCATAAGGTCAAAGGTCAAGTCTAACATACCAGCATTGCAATGTTTACAATCTTCCACACAGTAAGATGAGTCACTTTCATTATTGGATTCAGAGTCCTGCTCGTAATCCCAATCCGAGTCCCCCCTGTCTAAACTTGTATCTGTTAATCTGTATTGGTCCTCTGATATGGATATAGCTTTTAATTTGTCTTCACAGCTGGAACATAAGGGTGAAAGTTTTCCATTGTAAGAGTCCGTGAACTGAGGAGGGGGTGGGATGATGTCACATGAGGTCATCTCTTTGCTGGAAGACCGGAGCCAATCGATTTCTTGCACCCACAGGCCCTGGATGATTGGGCGCTCCTGGCCATCCTCTGCATTGGCTCTGCCACGGCTTTTTCTGCGCTGTTTCCTTTGGAGGTGATGAGGCTGGGCTGTCGAATCCTCTTCATCTGTGTCACTGAGAAGAACAGCTCCCTTGGCAACGGATCTGTAGACCATAAGATTGGTCATTGTCATTTTAAGATATTACAGTGCATTTAATCTGTACAATTCTATACCACCACAAGCGGTGACTGGAAATAGGTTTATGCAATATTTTTTTAAATACCTGTGTTTTCTAAGCAGCTGGGATCTTAAGTAAGGCAGTTGTGCATTAGGGGTCGGGCTAAACTCCTGGAAGTCTTCACCTAAAATGAAGAAATTGAACAAACTATTATCTGCCATTTTGTTTCACAATATAAAAGTCAGTTCAACACAGCTGAGTCTTTGCTTATAAAAGGCACATATCTCCACATTTAGATAGCCTGATTCATCAGTCGATTCACTTTGTTTCACCATCTGACCTCGCAGTGTCAGAATTTGTTCGCTCGACGGTAGGTGGGTACTTTTTATCATTTAACCAATCGCTGCTATTTGGTAGTCACGTATGTAATGTGCAGCTAACGGGGCTAACAGGTATATTAAGCTTTTCCTGAATCCCATAGGAGGAAGGGCAATAATGTTGTTCCTTGATGAAATTCACCAAACATTCTCTTTGTTGCAGCTTTAAATCCTTGAGCTCAGGAATCTTTCACAACACTGAATATATGACTCTTTGCTGATTGGCTGGTGCCCGAACTCGCACTTCTGGGGTTTTTGCAAACCCTCTATTATATTTTGATTCCTGACCTTGTTGCTGGAGAGAAATGAAATTGAGCGGAGGCACTAGGTGGCGCCAGGCTGGCTAACATTTAGATGCAAGTGCTTAAAAGACTTATAAAGTTGCACTGTGCAACATTTCTTGAGGGTCTGCCACCTGCTGGTCTCCATGTAGAGTACATAGATGGTGATACTGTATGACATTAAACTTCTCTATCTGACCAAATATACAGGTTAGATCTGACCTTGTTCCCAATGAGAATGCATGCATGTTTTTCAAGGTACTCCATTATTTAAAAATCAAAATCCATGTATTTGTAAATTTGCTTACTGGGTTTAATGTGATACTGTGGAACATTACATGCAACACAGTCAAATCTCCATGACGACATGCAGGTGGGAAACTCCTGTCCCAGAAAAGTTGCATATTGTACCAATTAAAAATGTATTTGCTCAAACTATCCATGAGTTTATAGCCATACTGTGTGCTTTGGGTGGGGTGAGTGCAGGACAATGTATGATTAGTAACATATTAAGTTCCCAATTCATTCATAAGAACATAACTGCGCACCTCAGCTATGCACCTCAGCTGTTTGCATCTACTTTGGGATATAGTTGTTGCATGTTAACAAATGCGTGTACAAATGTGAACACTCCTTCACCTATTGACTTTAACTACAGCCCTACACACTTACGCTCTGCCTGTGCTACTATGGAGACATCAGGATTCTCCTCAAACGCCCTGGGACCCTCCACATGTTTAGCTGTGCCCTGTAGCATGACTCTCTTCAGATGTGGAGAAATGGCTTGGACTTGAGACCCCTTCTCCTCCTCACAGCCCCGATTGTCCCTCCTCCCCGGTAAAGAGAGGTCGGAGTCTTCTGTCGCTATGAAGTTGGAGTTGAACATCCTGGGCATCGCCATCTCACTGAAAAAGAATGGGATCAAACTGAGTAAGGTAAAAGTAATTTAGTTATATTTAGAAATGCTGCAGATATTATTTTCATTTTTCAGAGGCACAGGCTAGACTAGAGTCAGGACATGCTATGAGAAGGTTACCAAATATGTATTTACGGGTTTCACTTTCAGTATTTATAGGCACCATTTTGAAGACTTTTGGCCATTCAATAAGAAACATAATTTTAAAGGGTAGAATTTTTTTTTCATTTTTTTGGCAGCAGTCTCATTTTTTTATAAGTTTGAAGCCCATGAGTAAGCATCAGAAATATTTCTTTTTTGTGTCAGAAGAATCAGAAAGATGTTGGTACTGCTTTTGTGATTTGTTCATGATTTGTTCATGCTTACCAAACCTTAATGTAGGTGCAGTTATTATAATGAAAAGATAATTTACCATACTTGGAGATATGTGTGATTTCAAGATGATGCTCAGATGAAGGTAAAATAACCAAAATGCTGATACTAAAATGTTCAACCTGTGGTGTTCCCTATCAATTACATAAAAGATTGTGGGTGATAGTAAAAAGCTCCCATAATAAATTTAAGATGAGTTTTAACACCACAGAATAGCAGCCCCCTTAAATGCTAAACACATGTTAATTAAACACCTCTGGCATTTGGTGTGGCGGGGTGTCAATGAAGAGACACCGGGGGCGGCATTGGCGAGGGGGTAAAAATAGCACAGAGAGATTTGGCACACACTGAACTCGCCGCATGCCTTCCACTGTGGGCCGGCCAGCTGTCAGGGCTAGTCTGCTTCAGGAGCAGCCATGTTGACAGGGAATACTCAAGGATCAAAACACACACTTCTCACACTTACAGACCTAAGTTTATGAGACAGGTAGATAGGTAGATACAACAAGAGGTACTCCATGATTTTTTAGCCTCTTAAAAAGCTAAGATTAACTTTTATTTGTCTCACAAAGGCAAAATTTACAGTGGTTCATATTATAATTTTCTAATACTAAAAAAATCTGTTAAAGTATTGTGATCTATTAAATGGAACAGCAAGTTGAAACAAGCTAGGATCATCCACAATCTCTAAAATATAGTAAAGTAAAGTTTGTCAAATTGTTCAACCTTTATAACGTGCATAGAGCAAATACACATATTGTTACCTATGCTCATTTCTTATCTACACTCCCAACTGCTGGATATTTTTAGGACTTGCTAGTAGTTAGAAAAGACCTTAACTTAATGCATTATAAATTTACAATATATAGTCAAGCACACAACTGTAAACAACAATGACAATAAAGTAAATTCTGATTTTGAAAGTAAAATATCTAGATGACCAAGTTGCTGCACCAGTTGTGTTGTGTGTGTGTGTGTTACCTTAAGTGACCAGTAGATTCTTCTGTGCCAGGTTCAGGTGTAGTTGACAGCAGGTTGTCCTACAGAAGGATAGAGCACACCTTTATCTTGTTCTAGTCCCTTCTCTGCACTTTGTGACATGTGTGTATCTGTATCCATGTACCAGCTACCGGCTTTTTCTGCTCACATAGCCCCTCTGTGATTGGTCACTTATGATCTCTGACACCTCGAGCCCTCCCACTCAATATCCATGCCGACTTCCACGTCTAAATATTTGGATGGATACTGTATGTGCCCCCAGTGACACCGTGGCAATGGGGGGTCTTTTTCAAAATAAAGTTTGATGTATATAAATAGCCAAAGTAATACTAATCTCAAGTTCTGTTTTGAAAATTGAAATAGTTTTTCTCCTCTTACTTTACTTTATAGACACATTTTACTCAATATCAAATGTTGACTCAGTATGGAATTGGTTAATCCCTGCTACAGTGAATAAAACAAAATACATTTTAAAATAAAAATCCAGCTGAGTGAAAATTTTAATTTATAAATGAATTCTAGTCCCGTTCCTGGACTACTGCAGGCTCACTGTACGTTACCAAATCTATAAATTTCCACATATAGCCTGCATTAGACACATTACAGTGCTATTAGTGCTTATATTAACTATGCAAAGACATCAAAAAGTGTAATGCTGAATTAAGAACATGTTTTTAATATGCAGAAGTGCCAACATTTAAGAGCCAACTAATGCAGGAAAAACACCTTATAACTTACAATTAAAGTATATATTTTTAGGCACAGAGGGAGTAGGGTGGGTTTGGATAGAGATATTAAATGTCACTGTATTTTTTCTATATAGATTGTGTTCTTTTATGCTATTGGTGTATTCTGAGATTTGTATGTTTCAGGGACTGAAGATGAAAATTAGCTCTGAGATCTATAGTCTGGGTACAAACCATCAAAACATGTTTCTTTGATTAACACTCCTGTACATGTAAGATAAAATACATAAACTAAACTAAACCATAATGTACATTTTTAATTGCATAACACGTTAATTTCCTATATCACAGCATCAAGTGAGCATTGTTTTTTGACAATAGGTTTAATCTCAAATATATACTGTAAATATTAGCCTAGTACAAGTTCATGTATTGTAACACCACAGGATTTAAACTAATTATGGCATAGGAAACTTATTTAAAGTACCTCCAAATCTATGGCCATTATGTTAAGTCTGATTGATCCATGTTACTGTAACTTGCTGATACATAAATAAATGCAGTTTACCCACTTGTCTTGTTACTGCGGCAACAGGCCCACATCCACAGCTGCATGCTTCCGGCTGTCACACATCTGCTGTCCCAAATAAAGATGACCGGGGTCCATACGTTCCTAAGGGAATTAGGAAAATACCAGAAGAAGGAGTGTTAGGGCGCTGTGAGGGTTCAGGGCCGGGGTGTCTCTCCCTGGCAACATCTGAATGAATGGGATCAGCTTCGGCCAATGGAAACGAAGCAGAAGTTTACTCACGTCAAAGGGTTTTTGTCACTTTGGTCCTTCCACTGTTGGAAGGAGAAGGCGGCTATAGATAGAGCTGGAAATCCTTAGGGGAAAGTGTTTAAGTATTGTTAAGTATTACTTCTCTGAGTCATATTATTAAAGCCTAATCATGTTACATTTATTTTGTCAACAATAAACAGAATGCAATATCAGTAATTTACCCGGGTAATTATCCAAGCACGTTATTATGTTTTCCATTCTATTATGTTAAATTATGACTTTTATAAGCACCAATTTACCCTTTCAAAATTGCCATCACTGAAATCCATTATTAAAATATTAGGAGTTCAAATGTTTATTTGTTTTTATATTTTGGTAAGAGAAAGAAGTTAAGAATGTAAATTATTATTGGAATTAGGACTTGCAACTGAAAACCCAAACAGAGCACAATTAAACCAAACTAAAATGTAATTCAACTTCAACTGTCATTCATTTATTTAGCTTAAAAAGGGGCACTGTGTAACTTTTCTGGGGGAGGGTCCATCAATACTCCTTTTCTCCATGAAGATATTTCTGTTTTTCTATGATTATTCAACAGTATGGAAATTGAAGTTGGTAATTACAGTGGAGAAAGGTTACTATTCAGTCACCTGCAATTCAGTAAATAACAAGGCAGATATGTTTAATGCCCTACTGTGGTAATTCCAGGCAAAGAAATAACATCACCATGGAGACAAGCAAGTAGCAGTCCCTCCATCTACACAGAGCACCTTTAAATAGCTTTATTACTAGGGCTTCATACTGCTCTTATGAGTTTTTCCCAGTTTATTTGGGACAAGTCCAGCTGTTAATTGTGGAGCAAATATGGGGAAATTGTTCTGTTTATAAATGTACTTTTAAAAACTAGTTGGATAAATCAGTTCTTCTTGAAAAGGCCTGTAGCAGAATTTACCCCCAGTGGTACTTGCCCCACAGTTTGAGAACAATTGATCTTGTCTGCAACAACAATGAAGCCCCACAGAAAAAAAACAGTTGACCTCATTACAAGAGAGGCCCCTTGTGTAGATCATTGTTTTCGATCAAGTCATTTTCGCCACCAGAGGGCGCCTTGATAGCAGCTCCAAGTCCCTTTGCCAAGTGGTTAAATGGAACACAACCCCTCCTCCCCACAGTTGTGTCCACACGGACTCGGGTCTCCGTTTTGCTGTCATGTATTTACTCTGGTCGTCATAACAACTCTGTGACGAGGAAGAAGCGGTAGGTGGGGGCAGAGTAACAGGATATGGGCACCAGGAGCCAGAGGAAGTGTTTTCACATCTGACCAACCAGCAAAACTCAGAAATGATCTCAGAGGCACAATTCATAACATTGACAGCCAGCTAATTTTAAACAACTTTATTTCACAAGTATTTAGTCCTCTCCTTCAGAGTAAAAATCTTTGAAAAGAGTGACAAAATGATCATACTGAAATGACATGCATGGTTATAGTGTCAGTTACAGGTGCAACCTAATAAATATAATGTGGAAAAAACATTTCAGTAGTTTGTTTACTAAGGTCAAGTTTAGATGTATTATATAGATTCTGGAGGAAGAACAACAATATCGTAGCGATTACAATAGTGTTATAATGAAATGTTCTTGATACTTCATAGTGGATTTGAGGATTAAAAGGTGATATCTTGGCTTATGCCCATTCATTCAAAAGACATAATATTCTGTTTTGAGTAATTAATTGCTATAAAATTAGCAAAATTTTCACTCTGAAACTGACAGATAAGCAATTAAGACTAAAGGTTGAAATTCCTACATTTGGAGTGTTTAATTTACCCATGCACATTTGAGCTTTTTTTTTAACACTATTTTCCATAATATAAGCTTTAAGTTGCACTTGTATACCAAAAAATAAACATTTTTCATGAGAAGTTAGGGCTTCAAGTTCTTGTACTGTTCACCAGTGATAATGCTCTTAAAATTTGCAGTTCAGTAGCACAGAAAATCCGTTTTGCCCTACCTAACACACAACAAAATCAGAATATCCTAAAATATAATTATAACAATGAAGTATGAGCCCCGAGGTAGAAGGCAAAGTCATTGAAGGATTCCAACAAAAGACTGTCTTGGTTGGCGCCCTCTCAAACAGCTTTCTCTCAATACCTCTGTTTACATTGCCATGCCAACACTGCACTGCCAGCCTCTGTCCTCTCATGACAATAACATGCATTTGGCTCACATCTTTTGGCTGCAGTTAAAATAAACATTAAATCCTCTTTCCCAAAAACAGCACATCTGTATATTCCATGTGAAAAGTGGAGACTGGTACCTCTTGCAGGAATGATTTAAGAAGGCACAAGTTGTCCTGATTCTAGTTGACAAAATAATTGAATATGACTAACTATATCTATTTGAAATCACAACAAAAAATCTAAATTACATAGTATTAATTATAAAAAGGAATAAACTAAAAAAGTTTCACTCATCACAACAACAAAAACATTAACTATACTTGTCTGTATCACATCTGTGTCAAATTACATTCTCTTTTAAACAAATCTGATTGGTGGAGACAATATTGTACCAAACAAAACAAGTAAACCAGTCTCCTATAAAAGATGTTTTCTGTTTGCCTCCAACTGCATCTTGTTTACTGTAATTTATGTTGTGTGTGATCTGATGCAAGAAATGTTAATGGGGATGGCCAATATCATTCAAGAGATAAAAACTACCAAATAATGTTAAAAGTGCACTGTGCATTTTTTGTTGGGGTCCGTCATCTACTTGTTTCTATGTATATGTTATTGCTCTGCCTGGAATCTACCACAGTATGACAGCTCTTTACATTTTTCACAGATCTGACCTGTAACATGGTCTGGTTTGGTCTCCATGAGGATAGAAAGGCTGAAATGCCATACTGTGAAACATTCCAGACAAAGCAATAACATCTCCATGGAGAAAAGCATTCGATGGGCCCTCCACCAAAAAAGTTACACAATACACCTTCAACAAAACACCAAATCTTCAAAACAAACACCAAAAAAACCTCTCAAGTGCAAAAAATGACTTATTCAACGGCCAATATCTTAAGCAAGTCTTCTCGTCAAACATCTGTAGATTCATACCATAAGCTAAGTACAAAGAGCCAGTGTGCTACTTGTGGTTAGAGTTCAGGACGGCCAAAGTCTCTTCTTCTGTTGTGGAGGAGAGCGTCCCAGGTCAGTTGATTTGTCTGAAGGCACTCCCCTGAGGTCAGGTCACACGAGAACCCCGCTGGACAGCAGTGTTTCCGGTCAGGGCAGCACACGGCCTACAAGAGAAAAGGCTTTGTTTAAATAAATACAGTACAGTTATCAGTTATACAACAGAACAGGCCATAGTTTAATCAATGTGGTATAGAAAAAGTCATGACACAAAATTTACTCCACACCACACATTAAGAACACATATTTTCTCAAACAGAAAGCCTTTGATCTCCAAACCCCAGTTGATTTAAAGGTATTATGAAACTTTTCTGGTAGTGGGATTACCACATACTTCTTGTTTCCATTGAGATATAAAGTGCTTTCTTCTGCTTGTTAAACAGTATGGCATTGCACATGTTTTTTGTTGTGCTTTGTTACTTTACACTGAAAATCCTGCATCTATACTGTTAGCAGGGTTACCTATCCAAAGATCTGACCTGATGGCATTACCCACTTTTCTCTACGGAGGAAGACATTGAGGCAAGATAATGCCTTACTAAAGAAAATAACATAATAACATGAAAGAAATAACAGTTCTATGAGAAATGCAAGTGGCAAACGTTATAAATTGCATTTGAATTGTTTCCATGTAGAATATGTTATTAGCCTACCCCAGGTGAGGGACAGCAGGCCCACTCTGTATCTGAGGTCTGGCAGCAGGTGTCCTGTTTGGAGCAGCGGACGCTCCCTGAGCTGTCACATGGTACGGCCTCGTCTTCTTCCATCTCCCTCTGCTTCAGTGGGATGACTGTGAGCTGTGCAACAGTGAAGGAGGTGGTCCCAGAGCCTGCCTTCTCACAGGTGCCCGTCTGCATGTTACACGTGTAGCTCTGGGGGCAGCAGTGCTCATGGTCTGCACAGCAAACCGCCTGAGGGGAGAGGCAATGTTATTTTTCAAATAGACACTTAAAAGAGATCAAACCAAAGCTGTCAATGTTTATTTGATGCCTTTAAATACACGTTGATACATTTAGATTTATTCAAACTGACTGCACTAGTGTCACCTTGACCAGCGGACAACAGCCCCATTCTCCTGTGGGCAGCTTGCAGCAGGTTGTTCCAGAGGCACAGCTGCTCTTGTCATCACACTTGACATCTGCCACAGAGTCGGACTCACTGAAGGCTCTCAGTTTGGTGAGCCAGGGGATCACATGAGGTCCTTTGGAGCAGGAGGAGCGGTGCGGTTCACAGGTATGGCCGTGCGGGCAACAGTGATCTCCATCACCACAGCAAATTGCCTAAAAGAAGAGAACCGTAAATACACATTTCTTAGACAGTGTGTTAGGGGCTTTCCATTCACAGACCTCTGGTACAGGGCAGCAGCCCCACTGGTGAGTGTTCTTCATGAAGCAGCAGGTAGTGCCCCGTGGGCAGCTGGTGTGGGGGTCACACATGGTCCGGGCCGGAGCAGGCAGAGCCAGGGTCTGGAGGGTCTCCTTCAGTAGAGCAGGGATCTTCTGGACCCATGGCAGACTAACCTCTCCAGGTTTATCACAGGTCTGCTCTGCCACGTTACACTTATAGCCTTTAGGGCAGCAGTGCTCATGGTCATTACAGCACACAGCCTAGGGAAATGTAAAAAATTATTATAACTTTTAAACTGTGACTTTTCCATAACACAAAACACTGGTCACCTATGGAGCCTGACCTGAGGTAGGGGACAGCAGGCCCACTGTCCAGATGTCTTCTTGCAGCAGGTGGTGCCTCCGGGACACATGGTTTGTTTGTCACATTTCTCGTTCTCTGCCTCTGAGGTCAGAGCAGGGACCTTCTCCACCCAGGACACAGGCGGTCTCACTCTAAAGGGATCATCACACGTTTCTGCAGCCAGGTTACACACTGTCCCATGAGGGCAGCAGTGAATGTGGTCGTCACAGCAAACAGCCTACGGACAAGAGGATTCAATCTAAAATGCTGAGAAGTTGAGATTAAGGTATACTTTATTGTCCTCATGTGTTACATTCTCCTTTGCATTTGACCATGCTGCTGGGGCAACATGTCAAGAGCAGTGAGTCCCTGAAGCATTTACCTATTGTGGATGTTTAAGGTTGTTTAGGTTATTTGGATTACAGTTTACATAAAATGGTCTGGACAATTCTATAGAAAGGACGTTGAAGGAGACATTAGATTAAGATCGGATGTAAAGAGACTAAACAAAAGATTCAAGGATGTTGTGAGAGAAGAGACAGCAAAGACTAGTGTAAGGCAATTGTATCCTGATTAACACAGATAATAGCAATCACATGCTACAATTTATTTAAAAGACTCACCTCAGGCAGAGGACAGCAGCCCCATTCCCCACTGGTGGTCTTACAGCAAGTTGCTTTCCCAGGACAGCTTGAGGATTTGTCACATTTGGTGTTGACGTTGCCCTCTACTGGAGTTTTGCCAAACAGGGGCATCACCAGACTCCCACTCGGACTGTCACATGTGGAGGCTTTCAGATTACACACAGTACCGTGGGGGCAGCAGTGCAGGTGGTCCTTACAGCAAACAGCCTGTGAATAAAAAGAAAGCATATGTAGTGGTGAGAGTGTCTTATCATTTAACACCACAAAGAAGGGGGCGTGAAGAGGCTGACAAATTACACTGAAGCATATTAAAAATCACTATTGGATTAAGCTTGTTTACGGTCCCGCCCACATGAGCATGGCCAAACAACATCAAGAGAAGCAATTACACAGGCATTACACGATTTATCAAGTAAAAGACCATTTGAACACTAGTGGCAGAGCTGAAGAAGACATGAATGATGAGGGTAGAAATGAGGCCAAGACTTAAACACAATCTGTCTACTGGTCACAGGCTAAAATCATTGCCTGCAATAGACTTATAAGAAGAAGTTGATCCAACAAAGCATTTAAAATGACTAGGACATACCTCAGCAAGTGGACAACAGGCCCAAGCACCAGTTAGCAATTTACAGCAGGTGTTTCCATCCTGACAGACCACTGAACCATTACATGCAACATTCTCCACTATAAAATAAATAAGAGTAGTATTTGTTTTGTGACTGCACTCAAATGGTGAAATAGTATAAAATAATTGTGAATTTAAAAAAACAACAACAAAATATTTACTTTCTGATTGCAGTGTTGCCGGTTCCTTCTTGAGAGCTGGGATTTTATTGACCATAGATGTGTTGGTAGTAGATGAAATGCACATGCTATGGACCAAATCACACTCTGTACCAGAAGGACAGCAGTGGATGTGGTCGCTACAGCAAACAGCCTGGAATATAAAGGAAATTTCTTTTTAAAAGTGTTGTCCTTTTTATTTTAATAAATTCTCTTTTTTTTTCCAATTAAATATTTTATGCTGAATTAACATACCGTTTAAACAGCTCACCTTTAAAATCTAAATCTCTTGCTTTGATTGGACCATAGCTATTCGAACAAATTTCAAGTCCCATATTAGGAACAGGGTTTTATTTATGGATTAAATATCAAAATGAAAACACAAGGATCATGTGTAGTGAGTTAATACAAACATTTTAAGACCAAAATGACAAGGCTCACTGCAGCAGTTATAGAGACAGAGGTGACAGTAAAAAGTGTAAAGTCAATTGGAGCCAGAGTCAAGGTTATCGAGTTAAATAGCCTTTAAATAATATTTAAATAGGTTCCACCTTAATTGCACGAATATAGAGTGAGATTAGATTATAGATAAGCTTACATCAACCATGGGGCAGCAGCCATAATCCCCAGAGGTCATCTTGCAGCACGTCGTCTCATCAGGACAAGTTGAGATTTTGTCTGGACACTGAACTGAACGGTCAGAGATCACACATGCATTAATTTACCATCTATAGAGTTATACAGATGAAGCAGCCCCACACACATGAAAATACATATAGATGATTTGATTCACCATCATTAGGAGTGGCAGCGATCTTCTTGAGCAGTGGCATTTGTGTGTCTCCAGACCGGCACATTTGCTTCTCCAGGTCACAGATGGTGTTACTGGGGCAACAGTGCACATGATCACTGCAGCACATTGCCTGTGTATAATTAAAAAGTCAAACAAAATGTAATTAATCAAGCAGAATTATTTATGGTGGTGAAAACATGTAATCATTTTGTACATCATCAATAGCAAAAGAAAATGTCATTTTGTCAACTGGATAAAAGTATTTCTAAATGAATACATTTAATCACTCATTTAAGCAGCTTTTTCAGTTCTGACAAGGTTCATCGTCACTGTCAGCTGACTACACACTCTAACACTCCCTAGTTATTTATAGTAAGGAGTATATTATTAGTTATGTTACTACAGTATTGGTCATTTTATTGATAAAATATAAAAGTGTAATAATTAATTAGTAATACATATAGTAGACATAGATCAACTTTTGACTTAGACATTTATAAATATGAATAGATTCACAGAGATTTGAAAATTTAAATAGAAAAGAAAAGAATATAAATAAGCTTCAGCAACATACATTTGGGTAGGGACAGCAGCCATAGTCTCCAGTGGGAAGCAGGCAACAGGTGTAATCATCTGGGCAGCTGCTTCTTCCTCCAGGACAAGTTATTGCACCCACTCGAGACTCTGCTAACAAACACATTTACACGTCATGTACGTATCATTCATACAGATAACAAGAACACATGAACTCTCTGGCCTAGTTATAAATACAATAGCTATTAAAAATTAACTCCCCCTTTACAGTCATAAATATTTCAGCATGTTTGCTTAAAGAGCTCCCACCTGGATTATTCAGTCTTTTTTTAGCAGGAACCTTCTTGAGCATGGGGATGGACTGTGATGTGGAGGAGATGCACTTTGAGTGAACAAGATCGCACTGTGTCCCCTCTGGGCAGCAGTGCTGCTTGTCCGAACAACAGACTGCCTGTGGTCATATAGAAAAGAAAATTAGATAATACAATTTGCTATCATTGTCTAAAGTTAATTACTTTATTAGTTTTAATTAGTTTTAAGTGATTTGGAGCAAATAACTTTGCTGATATAGATTCTATATGCTTGTACACTTGTACATTTATTTTGGTATTGCATCAACCTAGAGAATACTAAAGAACACTCAGCAAATTTTTCAGCTGAACAAGGTTTTCAGCATTTTAGATAGGACATGTCAGCTCCTATACATATTCAGCCATCTACCAGCAGTTGCATTTTAAACAGTTTACACATTCACTACATAGTTGGAGCATTTGCAGAACTGAATCCTCAATATCTAACCACACAATACATTTCTTTGTGTGTAAAGCTTTTTGCCCTTACTTTATGTAGGTACTCATTTATTGAAATGGTTTTGTGTGTTACCTTCTCCAGCGGACAGCAGCCCCAAGTGCTGTCTGGAAGCTCACAGCAGGTGGTGCCATCCGGACATTCAGACATCATGTCAGGACAAATGACTGCCTTCACTGGCTCCTCCAGCTAGGACCATCACAGCACAAGCATATCAATGATTAGGATGGGAAAGGGTTCTATTCTATCATTTCTACTGAGCAACTTCTTTGAAGGGACAAAGTTTATACATTTGATAGAGGGACAGAAAATACAAACCTGTGTAGTAGGAAGACGCGTTATCCATGGCAGGGATATGGTTTGATTTACACATTTTCGATGGACCAAATCACAAATGGTCCCTTCATAACAACAGTGGAGGTGGTCTGAACAACACTCGGCCTAAAAAAATAATAAATTATGCAAAAATTATATATTATAAATTATAAATTATGCAAAAATTGTTTCTTTTGCGCTTTAAGCCATGTTGGAATGTTGTCACTTTGTTGTCATTCACACATAAGAGTAACCCTTTATTACTGGTGTGTCTACATCTCCAAAGCTCAAAATGCTCTAATCCAAGTTGTAATGTCATGTAGTGGTGGTTTTCAAGTTAACAGCTAATTTTTACCTTTTGTTCAGTAGAAATTGGCAATTCCAGGTCCGAAATAATCAACATGATTCTAGTGAAAGCCTATGAAGTTTAAAAACACAGCACTTCCTCTATTAATACATGACATTACAAGGTGGAGTAGAGTGTTTCCATTTGAGAGAAGAACTCAGCCTAAATATGCAGGGTTTGTGCGTGTGAATGGAACAAAACAACTCTGTATGTTTTTGTTGAGGGGACAACATTATAGCATAGTTCAGAAAATAGCATAATGTGTTCAGTAATGTGATCATTTGTAGCATACTTTTGGTAGTGGGCAGCAGCCATAGCCTCCCTCAGTGTTCTGGCAGCAGGTGTTTTTCTCTGCACACATGCCTCCATCTGGACAGACCAACGCGGTGCTCAGGCCCAACACAGCCAAACACAGTGCAGTCACCTGCAGCATCTAAAAGGCAAAGAGACATTTCAAACCACAATTCATGGTTATAATTAAGGGCATGCCTACTAGTTACTCAAAGAAATACAGAGATTTTCCATGGCAAATTAAAAAAGTTGATGTGAAACTAGGCCTGTCACGAACTGAAACCATTTTCTGCCACTGACAACAATAATGCAATATAATCCCAGTAAACCATTTTAAATGGTCTCATCAAAAGGCTTGGGCTGCAACAGAGACATAATAGAAGAGAAAAATACTTAGTCATAGCAGTCACTTATTCAGTCTTTTAGGTCTTAAATCTTATAGAGTTACAACAATAATATCCCAAATCTCCACACTTTTGCAAAGAATAAGTATACATAATATATACTGAGCCCCAAAATATATTCTTCCAGTTTTCATGCACTGAACGATAGGCCAATATTATTGTGACAGGACTACGTGAAACTCTGCCTTTACAAAATATTATGAAAGACAAGCATGAATTGAACTGAATTTCACAATGATGTACATCTACAGGAAGTCTGGAAGGAAGTGTGGAAGGAAGTCTATGGTATGGTTTCACTTGGTAGTTTCTTAAGAAGATCAAGCATCAATCACCGTACATCTTTGCATGGGTGGAGTGCAGATAAGAACTATATACCATTGTATAGATGCACATGACACTCTGCTGTCTATATACAATCTGACTGAATTCTGACTGAAATCTTACTTGCATTGTGAAGAAGGAGTCTTTGGATGAGCCAGACGATGAAATCACGTTTATTAACTTCACTTTAATTAACAAACAAGAAAACAATTCATATTCTCTGTCCTGAAACAAAGACAAAAAATAACACAATTAGTTCTTCAACACTGTTATTACAAAGAACATAAATACGTTTAGACATGTGCATATACGATAACAAAAGAGGAGCTTGGATTGATTACAGATGGCGATCAATAAAACATTCATCCATTGTAGAAGTAAAGTTAGCTTAGCCACTAAGCAGCTAGCACCTTAGCACAGCAGTGCGCTTTGCTTTGAATGTTCACCATGGCATTTTTTATTAGCAGCACAGTGTCTTACCTTGTTTATCTGATTAAATCGGTTCTAGTTTCGCCTTTCAGGGTCTTGTTGTGGCTGTAACAGCAGGAAAATGACGCCGCAGACTTCTGTATTTCCTGAAGTCAAATTGGGTTGTCACATGATCCGTTTACATCACGTGACATTTAAAGCAACAAGTCAAAAATAAGTCAAAATAAACGAATAATTTCTTCCTAGGATTATTTTAGTTTACAGTCATGCTGAGGCTGCTCGTTATTTATAATTTATGTGCGATATTTTAATATTTATTTTATATTTTGTATATATCCTTTTGTGCTAATACAGTGAGTTCCTGGGTCTAGTCACTACTAAAAAGGACCTGGTTCAACATTTGTGAATAATTAACTTATCGTTTAGATGTTTTATGGCAAAGTTATTAAAATCTGACCTTTGACCCTCATTTGGGAGTATGAGATCATCACAGTCTAGAATCTTAAAACCACCAATAGACCCATTATCATTATCTTGGTATTAATGTAAACATTTTTCATCTACACTAGGGTGACCAGACATCCCTATTTACCCAGGACAGTCCTCGTTTTGAGCTATGTGTTTCCTGTCCCAGCAGATTCATCCAAAACCAATGATTTGTCCCAATTTTATACAAGAAATGTCTCAGGTATTGCTATTTCTGACCAACATAATTCCGGTCAGTAAAGGGGACAATATACTGTATTGTCATTTGTTTTACTAAAATAAAGATGATTACATACTGAGCCAGAACTGTTTTCAGAATTTTATTTATACCAACCATCCTAACCCAAGTGTGTCCAGTTTTGAATTTTAAAGATCTCATCACCCTAATCTACAATATATAAATGTAAAAGTTGTACATTGAATGCAAATTGACAAAGAAAGCACAGTGGGGACATTTTTATTTCTATTTTGTTTCATGTACAGAAAGAGTCAATGTACAGTTTGCAAACATCTGACCAGAAGAAAATGGCACTGCACAGCATGAAGGCCTGCACCTCAATGCTCTGGACCCTCACAAGCCAAATGCAGAGGATAACTACAAACTCATGTTACCAATCCCTCCATCAAAACTCATGTTCAAACACAAGATCACAAACCTCAGCCTACATGAAATACATCCTCCTTCCATGTAAATCAAACACAGGCAAGGGAACACAACTGCACAACTCATTATGACGCCAGGTCTGGTCCAAGTAAGTGGTACATTTACAGAAATTGAGACATTGACTGAGTTCAGAAATCACTCACATTTTCAGTTCATAGTGTGGGCTACTGACAAGGCGTATGGAGAGCAAGCAGATGGTGACTTGACAAACAGTGAATATTTTACAGCTTCTATGATTTCCAAGTTCCTCAATTTCACGAAGAAAAAATAACATTCTCAACACTTTTCAAAATTCTCCCAGCTTCGTCCGCTACACTTGCGTTTTCACCAGTTGACTCATTCCCATTGGCTGATGTGTCACAGGCAGTGGTGATGCTAGCGGGAGCGTGTTGGTCAGTATGTTATTATTGTAAACATTTACGACCGGAAGTGGGTTTTGTTAGGACTGAGTTAAGGGAAAAGTCAGTGTATGCTCAGATATTTGGCAAATCATTGCTTCATCGCAAGACATTTTTGTGCCAAAAACATTACGATTGTTTCAAAAAAAGTTTCAATAAAAACACCCTATTCTACATTTTACAGTACATGCACATTGTATACACATAAAATTTAATATAGTTCAAGTTTGAAGCATTTACAGGTTTGGTGAAAAAGAGGTTAGATACAAGAAATTAAGAACATATTCAAGGACATAGTAATCATGAAAAGACATTTTGTTTTGCAGGCATGCTCCCCAGAGTGAATTGTGTTATTCCCCATAATGCAGTGTGCTTATCGTTGGTGCCATCTAAAAAGCCTAGGTGGTATTAACTGCATTTTTGGCAAAGGGACCTGCATGCCTATCACTAAATCCTATGTGAAAGAAGGCACTTTCAGGAGAGGAGTGGTACAGGCCCTGTCTACAAAACAACCTCTGTAAATCTCAGCAGGATATCAAAAGTCTTCAAGTACGAGATGTGTAATTTAGTTTGACTCGTTTCTTGGCAAATAACGAATGGTTGTGCAGAACAGGAGCCTGGAGAACTGTGGGGGGCTTTTGGTGCCTTCTGTTTATTTCATACATTCATATTCATGCAAACGTCTGTCCTACCAAATTGTCTTTCTAAATGTCAAGAATCCTATTTACACAAAACTCACGAGGAAGTCTCTGTCAGGCAAAAAGGAGAAAGGCAGAGTATTATTTTGGCAAAACGGTAGATAACTTAACTGTGGCTGGAACAACATGATGTTTTTACAGGTAAATGCTATTGTATATGTAAATGTATGAATGAACAGACTACAGAAGGGAAACAAGTACATCCCTGAAGGAGCAAAATGCAGACCACAAAACAGTTTGCAATATCCATAAACAGGGTCTCAGCATAAATTAGGTAATAGTTTTCTTCAAATATATTAAGCGTATTTAGATTGTACCTCAAAGAATGCTTACATTTACAGATATGATTTAGAGAAGTTAACTGTTTAAATATCACATTTTCTAAATAGAAAATTCAATAATTTTCAAAATTCTAGAACCACTTCAAATCATTAGTAAGTGCTTTTCTCTCATATTTTGCTCTAAAATGGCTATTTCCAAAGTCAATGGCTCAGACAATGGTTTAGTGATATAATAAGGTGACAACATTCACAATAAAGTTCAGTCTACAATAGATAATGTCACTGAAAGCCAATGAAACAAACAGTGAGATTACGAGAGTACTCAAAGTGCAAAAGCACTTCACCAGAAACACATCGGTGACAGACTGTGAAGATGGTTGTGCTTTTGTGACCTCCCTCTCTCTGCTCTGAAAGATGAAAGCTCCTTCTGATAAAGGTCCAGTGTCTCTTTGATACAGCTTCTACTTCCTCGGGTGAAAGACCATCAGAGGCCTGTCTTCGATCTTCTGCCATGGACTCTTCTTGTTTTCATCTTTGTCATCAGGATCGTCTTCTGGGCTGGTCATGGAGTCACGCCGGTTCTCACTGTTGCTGCTGCGGCTGCTACTAACTCGACTGCGTCCCCTTCTGGTGATGGTGGATCCACGGGATGACGGGCCTTCATCGAGGAGAGGGGTGAGAGAGTTCTCCTCTGGCGACACCGGGCGACCCTCACTGCTGCTGGGCTCGCTATGGTCGGGATAGGCCAGTTTGGAGTAGTTCTTCCCTCCGCTACTTGTGCCAGTGTGGCCTTTACGTGGAGCAGACCCCCAGCGCTCCTCTTTGCCCTTACGATTTGCTGCCAGTTTACGCTCTTGAGCTTCTAAAGGAGGTTCCAGGTTGACATCTCTCTGTAGATTACTTTGACCTCCAAAGCCTCCACCACTCAGATCATTGCTGATATCGATGTAGGAGTGGCGCACGTGGGCATTGGCCCGTCCATCCAGTGAGATGAACCAGGCCCGTGGGTGCTGCTTCACTCCCAGCTCCAGGAGTTTCTTCTCTGTTAGCGCCTGCAGCTCCCCGTTCATTTGGGCCATGGTTGAGTCGTTAAAGAGCACAGGGATGGTGACTGGGCCTCCAGATGAATCCGACGCCCAGCTGGGGTCTTCCGAATCATCTCCTTGACATCCACCTTGCTGCTGGCCCTGCCTCTGTCCCTGGTGATGGTGCTGTTGACCCATTGGACCACCATCTTTGTCTTGGTCTTTTGGATCCTTTCCATCTTTGCTGGTAAACTCTGAGGGCAAGCGCATGTAGTGTGCTGGGATGACTAGAGTTGGCACCATGCTCCGGTACATGTTTTCTTTCATTTGGTCAATGGAGCTACAGAAGATGATTTGTCCTGGTTGCGTGTTGAGTGATGTGGGTCGGGTGAGGCTGTCTGCTGCTGCCGCTGAATATTCGGGGGGCTTATCTGTCTGGTTTGGCACGTAACCCTGGAAACGAGGTGGCGATGGGGGGTCAGAAGAGTATCCACGATTGTCATTGGCGCTATGGTGGCGGTTGTAGTCTTCGTGGAGCAGAGGGTTGTCCAAATTGTTTGTTTCAGTGGCCCGAGTTACCTTCATTGGAAAGCTTTCACCTCTTTGGGAGCTGGAAATGTTTTTGCCTTTCGAGTTTCTGGACTTGTGGGCTGGGACATGTTTGGTAACGTCCTCCCGTGAGCTGTGATAGTCTCGAGATTCGGCTAGCTCTGATTTGTCATTAGCTGCTCCAGATTCAACATGGCCGCCGCAAATGAGATTCAAACGAGACATGGAAGTACCCTGGTCTCTTTTGGCACTGTTTAAATTGGATGCATGGGGCTTGCCCTGTTGTCGACGAGGCTTCAGACACTTCCTCCTAGAAAATATACAATACATTAGCACTGCACAAGTTACACAGAAAATCACAGAATAGTCACTGTAATAATATGGCTATGATTATATTTGCAGACATTTGCTGAATATTTTGTCCATTTTGTTCAGGCAAAAGTGTACATTACTAATATTGAGGTAACTACAGTATACAGTCCTACAACGGATCAGAAAATGTGTGATATGAAAATATACACCTGCCATGTTTGCCTAGACAATTTAGTAATGATAGTATAATAGTATTGAAAATAAAGTTTGATAAGTGATGTCTAAAGGTAAGACGTGCACATACACTATACATACCTGCAGTAGTAGAGCAGCACACAGAGCAAAATGAGCACGAGCAGAGCCAAGGAGCCCAGGATGGACAACAGGAACAGGGTGTGATATGTGGTAATGTCCCGCAGACCCGGGTGAGAGAGACCCAATCCTGTTAATTAAAAAGTAATTAAAGTCCAGCTTGACTATTAAACCTAGTAATTACTAACAAAACCACAGGGGGAATATTTTCATTTGGCTTCAAATAAAATACTTTGAAAATGAAATTGCACTTCCATTACCTGAAGATGTGGGGAAGGCAGCTAACCAGTATCCCATCCCAGGAACCACAAGGTTCCACACAAACTGTGAGCCGTCCTTTTTAATGTAGCCTGTCCCGTTCCGGACCCACAGACCTGTGTATTATTACATTATGGGGTCATTTATGGTGTATATTTTCTATACAGTAGACTCTTTCTTCTTATTTCACACATGAGTACCTGTCTTAGGCTGATAGAGCCACGTGGGGACACTGGTGGCCATCCTGTTACGAGTGTCCGAGGGCAGAGGGACAGAGAGGTGTATTGGATCTGAGACTTGGATTGGATTTCCATCTTTGTCGTAAAGCTCAATGCTGACCACTGCAAGAGCTGTCAGATCTGTCCAGCCAATTTCAGCACCTAGACACAATAGTACGGTTTAATATTACAGTGTGAAAAGGATTACTGTACAGAGTACATCATATCACAGTTCAAGTTTCAAGTACTATGGAATATGAAGTTACAGATACAGTTGAAATTAAATAATGCTCAATTTGTCTAATTTCAATGTTTCAAGGACACAGGAAGACCATATAAGTCTGTACATACATGTTTCCTATAGAACAACTACATTATGTATGATATGACGTGAGTGAGTTTCAGGTTGTCTCAAAGTTAATGTATGTAAATGTGAAGCAGTCATACATATTCTGTCTACTAGAGATAATGAATATAGAGAGACTGCACATTTCTATCCACAATTCATATGTAATCTGAGCATTCAGAGGAGATGCCGACCTGAGCTGTTGGTCTCCCGTCCCAGGAGGAAAGGGAAGCCCCCGATCTCGTACTGGCTCTTGGCGGTGGTCAGAGCCGCTGACAGAGACGTGTAGTTGGAGTTTGGAGGGAGCTGAAGGGATTTCCTCTGGAGTTGCACCAACGGCTGGTTACGAGCTCCTGATGAACAGACAAAACGGAGAAGAGAACATGACTCGTGTAAATATGCAAGTAGTTATCAAATCCTGAAATCTGCTTTAGGTAACTTTTCAGATGTTCCACCTCCTGCTTGTCTCTATGAAGATATTATTGTTTTACCTAAAATGTTACACAGTATGACATAAGATTATGATATGAATACACACAAGACAAATAGGTTTAATGTCATATAGTGGAACTGAGAGAAGCAGGTGCTGTACCCCACACCATAATTAGTAATTGTACAGTACTTTTTATAGATAATGTTTTTTATACTTGTACACTTGCAATGCAACGCTACAAAAAATTTTCTACATATTAGTCACAAATTGATAACTATACAGTAATCGAGTATTTATCATTTCCATCATTCAGCCTCTCACTGAACCTGTCTTTCCTCTAGTATTTACTGTGTCAGAGATATTTCTAAATGAAGTTTGATGCTGTTGCTTTGGCGCTAGTAGCAGCAAATAAGAGAGGGTCATCCAAATGTTAAATAAGATCTATGGAAACTCAGACACAAACATGAAGGGTGTGAATCAATTGTCACACTTAGCTGGAGACAGGCTCATTTTAAGTGACAGACAATCAGAAGAATATGACATCTTAATGCCTTCAGGACTGTAAATGCAGTAATTAAATCTTCTCTGGATGACTGAAGCCTATCCCAACACAAGGCTTTAGTGGCTTAACATGGGTCAAGTGGAAGGCAAAACAATTTGAAACATATTTAATGGCAATTCTTTTGACAAATTTAGATTAGATTACAATTATTATTATTATTATTAGGAATCTGCTTTAGCATACACTTTTTAATCACAACCAGGAGCTTTACCATTTGAGAGAAATGTAGACTGCTGCACTAATACAATAATGTTTATAGAGATTTAAACTAGTGTTAGCCAGTTTATACATAAATCATAGGCAAAATATTTTGTGTGTAGGGGAAACTACTACTAATAACTCCTGCTTTGCCTTTCTGATTCTGTGATCATGCAGTTCTACTTCGAACAGTGACAATAAGCAATAAATGCAGTCCAAAGAAGGAGAAAATACACACAAAATACATGCTTTATAAAATTATATTTATTTATGTTTTACCTGGTGAGCCTGACAGAACTTGAAGGACGTCATCGTAAAGAATGAGTGTCCCAGGTCTCTGTACTAGAAGGTACAGGCTCACAGATGCATATACTACAATAAAAGAGAGACATTTAGAAAAGATGAACACAGCAGAACTGCAGGTGTGGCTGAAATGAAACAACAGCACTACCTAACTATATTCAGATGATACACTGCAGGTGAATACAAAAAAAAATAAAAATTAAATTTGATATATTTGGGACGCACAAAATTACAAATTGTAAGAGCCAGGTTACATTTCTTGCTTCCTTTTGTTGACAGATCCAAAGAAATTTGCAGAGGGGATTTATATCTTAAATTAGGCCTACTAAAAATTTGAGAAAATTAAAAATTTTACCAAATTTTCTGAAGTAAAACATTAAGAAATCCGGCTCAGAATTAGATATGAACTAATCCTTCTGTACGATCCATCAAAATCTTTTAAGTATAAAAATGAAAACATTAATGTACGTAGATCAGATCCCTAAATGAGAAAAATGCGTTTTGAGAAAACAGCCTTTGGAGTTACAATGCACCATATAAATCTATGTATGCACTTATTTAATCAAATAATAAAAATGCAGATTGGACAATTTTGCAGTTTCCATGTGAAAGCTTAGATGTTGAGATGGCAAACCAGAAAACAAAAAGATGAAAAGAAATGAGTTTAGCCTGTAGCGTCTCTCCAAACAGTGCTGTAAATTGAATTGCTGGCTTCTCGAGTTACTTACGTGGGATGCGGTTGGAGTGCCAGGGTACAGAGTTGGTGACATAATCCAGTTTAGAGGCAGTGATGATGACCCAAGTTCCCGCTCGGTATAAAAAGCTGACTCTGAGGATGCCATCACTTCCTGCTTTCCCGGACGCTAAAATGGTCTGATTTCCATGGACCTCCACAAGAGCATCCGCCAGTGGAGACAAGTCACTATTGTCAAACACCTGGACTTTGATTTGCACCTCTGAAAAAGAAAACAAAATCATTTTTCTCTCATGGGAACTGAGCTAAAGCATATTATAAGACAATAAAAACTAAACCAGTTCTAAACCAACTTTAAAGGTCTTATATCATGCAAAATTGACTCTTGTGAGCTTTAAGCCACGTTAGAATGTTATGTCCTCAAAAATATAACTGGAGTTGTTTTGTTTTATTCACACATGTTTGAGAAATCCTTTATTAGTCTGTCTACATCTCCAAAGCTCAAAATGCTCTGCTCTATCCTTTGTGATGTCTTGAAGTGGTAGTTTTCAAGTTAATAGCTACCTTTTACTTTTTGTTCAACAGAGATGGGCAATTCCAGGGCTGAAATCATCAAAATGAATCCAGTGATGGTGTATGATGGAGTAATATTTTCTGCATTACCACATGACAGAAGTAAATATGCAGGGTTTGTGTGTTAAACATGTGAATGAAACAAAACACAACTCCAGGTATGTTTTAGATGAGGAAATATTATAACATAGATCAGAACATAATGTGAAGTGGCCCCTTTCAATCAAGTCCTTATTGTGTCTAAACTAGGGTTGCACAATTTAGGAAAGAAATCTATTTTTGTGACTAGTATGCAACTGAGACTGTATTTGCAATTTATATTTTCAAATCAGTATTCAGTTCACAGAACACATTTTACATACATACAGGAAGCAGGAGCAACTTTGGGGAAAATGTGAAGATATGAACTGCTAAACTACTAAACCCTCTGCATTTCACACAATTAGCTAAATGTCTCTATTTCACAAACTGTAAAAAGCAAGGACATATAGTAATATGATGTAAAGTGCTTTTACTGTCCTGGCTCTGACTTAGTGTTAGCGAGAAAATGTTTAAGTCATCTTTTGGCTGTGTGTCAAGAACTCAATGACTATGCAGAGGTTTAATCTCCTTGTCCATAATGACCTTCCCACTACAATCAAAATAATGTGAGTGTACAAGTACACTATAGCCTCTCTCAGTAAATCACTTAATGTACTTTAATGTATTTGTTCATACATGTTTATAATGGATGTCAGTATTACAAATATAACCTTGCAGTGTACCAGGTTACAACATTATTTCAACAACACATTATAATACCAAATAAGAGTGTCTTTGATTCATCTCTTTCCCTGGATGCACTGCATATGTGTTTGTCATGTTTTATGTCAAATGCAGTCCAGATGCTTTAAAGGTCATCCAATTTCATGCAAATTTTACTGTTGTAAGCTTTTAGTCATGCTAGAATTTTGTTACCTAGTTTTCACGTTAACAGTTAGTTAGTTAGTTAGTTAACAGTTCAATTCCAATGCTGAAATCATCCAAATGATTCTAGTGAAGGTGTATGGAGGTTAAAAACACAGTGGAGTGGAGTGGTACTTAGTCCGAGAGAGGAACTCAGCCTAAATAAATGTGTGAATGAAACAAAACACAACTCCATGTATGTTTTTGATGACGATACAAGTTTATAACAGACCAGAAAATAATATAATAATGGCTCTTTAATGCGGGTCTTTGCTCAAACACCTACACATGTCATTTATCTTTCTACTCTATCTAAATAAATCACTGTGGTTATTTCCAACTGAATGAACAGCCCTAATTCATTGATGCGGGCCTGCAGTTTTTGTTTTCACTTCACATCTCTCTTCTTGGACCGCTCAGGATGTGGGTCACACCAGGGATGTTTCCATGGCGACTCACTGACTCTCCAAAAGCCGCCTTGTATTTCCCCACATACAGATTAGTCCACCACAGGCTAAAACTGGACACAAAACAACCATCCTTACTGACCCTTTCACTTCCTAATGGCATTCATTCAGTATTTCACACACTTTTAACACCAATTTCAACTCAGAATATATTTGTTTTTCAGTTACCAAAACATGTCTAAATATGGAGAAATATATTGGACTAAGGTTGGAATTAAAGAATGAAATGTAACTTTTCTGGTGGAGGAGTCGTTACTTGTATTCATAGAGATATTATTGGTTTGCCTTTAAAGAATCCATAGAGACAAGCAGAAGACGCTGTCAGGACAATATACAGGTCAAATCTGTGGAGAGGCGACCCTGCTCAGCGTAAGAATGCATGATTTTTTCAAGGTATTTTCAAGCATTAAAAACACTTAATTGAATATTTGGCAAAATCCCATACTGTGGAACATTCCAGACAAAGCAATAACATCTCCACGAAGACAAGTAGTGGATAGACCCTCCACCAAAAAAGGTACAGTACATAGTCTCTATTCACGTCAGTACTTAAAACATGATTAAAGTAACACAGAAACAGGACATCAACCAGATCTAAACTATGGCTAAATATATCACCATAATTCCATCAAAACCCAGTGTCAAGCAGGATAAATCCAGGGTAATCAACTAGAAATGACAATCTTTTAAAATAAATAAACAAATAAACAAACCAATAAAGACACCTAAAGCTTTTTGGGCATCACCGCAAGAACTACATGTACCGGTAAGCACACAGGTACTACAGTTTGAGAAGCACAGATTCAGCCTGTCTTGTCCCAGTGTGCTGTGGTCATTAGGATGCGTGTATAAATGTGGTGCATCCATTAACAGGAGGAGCTCTATAAAGGCTCCCTTGTGTGCACAGTGTTCCCCCAATCTGGACCCAGCACTCGAGACACTGTGGCCTCCGACAACTCCATTGACACAGAAAGAGCCTGGGAATCTCAGCTCACTTTAGAAAATGGGTTTAATAGTCTTTCTGGCTGCAGTTTTGAATGCTTCATCACACTGTACAACAACAAATGGATCTACAGATAAGAGTTGCCGTAATATTAGATTGGAGTGTATTAATCACAATTACTGACACTATGAGTAAGCAACAGTGGAATTCTAGGTCTAACAGGTAACACATTAGTATGTGATAACTTTATGAAATCAAATATTGTAAATTATAAAGTAGTTAATAACTGAAGATAGATTGAAATAATACTTTTAATTATAACTACCATAGTTTAGTTCTAATTAATATTCTGTATTAACCAAATAATTTACTTAATTTCATTTATTAAAATGTTCTTATTTCATTTTTATTATATTATTTTCTTCTCTTTCACCTATTTTAATTTGTTTTGTATTGTTTGTTTTTGTTTTTTTCCCCTTTTTGCATCTATTATTATTGATCATTATTATTAATTTACTGTCTTGTCTGTGGTTGTAATTTTACCAAAATAGACACTGTCAAGCCACTAAATTAATCACGATGTGGTGATTGAGCCCATATACACAAGCACAAACACAGCTTCTTTGGGAGTCTATGTTTTTTCACAGTTAACACATATGACATACATATTATATATGTCAAATGTGTGTATATATTTATATATATCTAAAAAGGTGTCACTTGTGGGATTATAATTTAAAATTGTCGGGGGAAAAAAACTTAATTGAACTGAATAATGTCGACATCCCTACTACAGGTGTACCCAAAAATATAGGGAATTTGAATAGCCATAAAATTATATAGGGAAAGATATTCTGCCCTGGTCCATTTAAACAGATACATTTGCTACTTATGCTGACTTTATTATTACTATTTATCTTATTGCTCTTTGTTATTATATTATATTGTGATGTGTGAGCTACTGTGTCAAAATAATTTCCCTTGTGGATCAATAAAGTTTGTCTAAGTCTAAACTAGACTATATGAGGTTGGAAGTCAATTTAATTCTTGCAAGTCCCAAGCCAGAAATCAGAATAAATAGACATGATTCCACGAGGAAGGGCATCCAGTGCATTTGAGAAATCACTGCACCAAAGAAGCAGCATTATTTTACCCCCAAAGAAAATCAGATTCAAATGAGCCTGTAATGTAATAAACATTGCAGTATAACATTGTAGTGTTATTATATCAAGTTTGAAAAGTCCCCTCCCCTTCCCAACATCTTGCCCCTATTCCCCAGTTTGAATACTTTACGGATAATTGATTTCCTTCGCTACTGGTGATGACACAGAGGTTAGAAAACATGTACAAAATGGTGGACTGTCTTATTTTGAACGTGAAGAGTAGTGAAAAATAAACCCACCCTGTCACCACCCATGCATCTCTAAAGGACTGCTGGCATGCATAATACAAACTAATTACATAATGCCCTTCACATCTTTAACCTGCACTGGAAAGAAGGATGGAGGAGACAACAGGCCTATGCAATCTGAACATATTTCATGAAAGCCTTTATAAATTGAAACTGTATTGTGAGTACAGGCCCAGGAGGTGGCAGGGGCATGTAATATAATCGCCTATGTGCTGTAATGTGCAAGATAAATGCATAGAGTACAATGAATAGGCCTTGCTCGCAGCTAGGCCAAGTGCAAGAGAAACCCAGTGTACACATGCATACAGATACCCCCATAGGAGCACGTTATGTACAGTTTATTTAATGCATAGCAATATCAAAACGACACCCAAGGCCATGAAAGGAAAATGCAATGCCCTACAGTGACAATCAAACCAAACAGTCTTGCTCATAATTACGGCTTTCCATGTTCATCCAATGTGTGTTTTTGTAAGGCCTGGGTCGTATTACCGCGCCACGTTGTGAAGCAATGTCGACAAAAGCAATAAAAAAGCAACCACTCCCATCTCATTGTTGCTTCTGCTGCATCCCCCGTACGGCGAGCCTTACCAAGCGCTCCCTGATCTGGAAGAGATTTGGCCAGCGCCTCCCAAATCGCGCAGATCCAGACGCACAGGAGCACACGAGAGATGCGGTGGACTGGCATCCTTCTAACCTACATCTCTACTCGCAGGTCGTCGCTCGGGTTTCCATGATTCTCGGGGTTAATTCAGACTTCGCGGCTACTGAGACATAACTCGGATGCCAGGCCAAAAGAATGGAGTCGTGGATGCTGCTGTAGTCTGTGGGCTTCGCCTTGTGTTTATTGTCTGAGGCGGGGAGCAAAGGGCGCCACGCTGCCCCCTGTTGGTCATAAGAGGAACTGCACCAGCCAGAGAAAGCTCCTGTAATGACTTTGTACCGATTAGAAGGCCCTGAATCTAGACTTGACAGATATATATAAGATTAAAATAGGGATGTAACTGTTGTGGCAAAAATTATATATCTGCTGAAGATAAATAATGACTCCATTTGCAAAGATCGATGAGTTTTTGGAATATAGACCAAGGTTTCTTTTTGTTACAGCAGATATGGACAGGGCCTAAGCCTGTTCTGGCCAAAGCCCAACAGCATCTCCCCACCAGCAGTATGTTCCTACTACATCTCCCACCGTATCTCCCAATGTTACAAAGCACCAAGTTTATATAGCCTGAGATGACCAGAAGACATACATTTCAAAGTGAGAAGGTGACAACTCCTAATGAGGTGTGGCCACATGTGCTTGATCTGATTTGCATCCATATTCACCTGCATTTGTCACTTCCTGACAAGATTAGCAAGCAAAAGGGAACAGAAGTATTTACACTGAAGGGTCTTTCTAACAAGCCAAATGAGTTTTTGTTACAAGACCAAATGTGTCTCTAAAAGATAAACTAATCACTATTTTAATGTAATCAATCAATGTGGGGGTCTGGTCTCAGGTAGAAATCACGTTCATTTACACAAAGACAGAATGAGAGAAATCTTTCCACAATCTAAATTTCTATCACAGTAACAATAAATGAAATATCATGATATTCATATCATATCATATCATGATATCATGAAAAGTCTCACACTAATATCGTGGGCTGTCACAATATATCGAATTACAAGTTCCTTTGCTTAAATGCATGGTTTTATAGTAACAACAGCTTATAAACATAGGGAACTACATATCCCATGATTCATTTCAGTGCAAACAACATCAAATATGTTTTTTACTTGAATTCTTGGGATTATGATGGAAATAATTCACACCAAAATCTTGTAAAGTATTTTAAAAGCATAAATATCGTACCTTGAGATGCCTATCGTGATAATATTGTACCGAGACATTTGGATATTTTTACATCTCTGAATTAAAATGTTTAACATGGATAACAAAAATACTTTGGTTGAGGATGCATCACTTGCAGAGGAGCAGGGATGGCTCAGAGAAAGACTTGTAACACACTCAGTAACTTCTCTGGTTTTTAATGTAATAAAATAGTACAATTACTCCAAAGTGTACTCAGTAACATTAGATTTTAAAATGAGTTACTTCCACCCTTGGATATTACCTTAAACCAGGGGCCTCCAACCTTTTTCCTCCTGTGAGCTACTTTTTGTAAAACGAAAATGCCAGAGAGCAACTAATTTTAGAGGTCGCCAGAAATTTTGTAAATATAAGAGCCATGGTAAGCCAAAGATGAGGTACAGTTAGATGTTTATAAAACATAAGCCATTATCCACTTATCAGTGCATAAAATTAGGCATCAAAATTATCCATTTACAAAGGAAATAAGCATTTAATCAATCAAACTTGAGTTATTCAGCTCGATATGTATAATTCAGAAATTCCTTGGCAAGCTACTTGGAAGGGGTTGGAGAGCCACTGGTAGCTCCCATTTTGGAGATCCCTGGCTTAGACTTAGACTTAGACAACTTAGACTTAGACAAATTTTATTGATCCATAAGGGAAATTATTTTAACACTGTAGCTCACACATCACAATATAATATAATAATAAAGAGTAAATAATATAAATGGTAATAATACATTCTAAATAAGTAAAGGGTTAGCAAAAAAGATAGCAAGAAAGAGGTGTTCAGACATAATTCTATAAATGTAAATAATAATAGAAACATAAGTAATAAAATATAAAATCACAGCTTTACAAGAGGTCATAGGAAGACAGTGCAATATCTTTCTAGGGAATAGGTTTATATATCAATACTATTATTTAGTATAATCATAGATGAGATTAGATCAAAAGCTCTGATAAGTTCACTACTAGTTATTAAGTCATTAAGTAGCATTAGTGCATTCCTCTGCAGGTCATGACCAAAACCATTGATTAAATAAACACAATCAATACTATAAAAACAGGCAGGCTCAGAAGTCATATTTACACATGAGTCCATAAACAGAATTAACTGTCACCAACTGCAGAACATGGGGGAAGTGGAGGGGGCAGTTATAAAAATACTGGTAGACTTCCTAGACTATGCAGTACGGTACATGGTATTCAGATATGAGAATAAAGGTTCGCACTGGGTAACATCAAACACAGCACTGGGGCTTTATAGTGTCAAACAAAAATGAAGAACTGCATTGAAATTTCTGCAACGTACACACTGTAGACAATGGTTTGACAACTGATTAAAGAGCCCATATTACACCGTTTTCTGATCTAAGTTATAATGTTGTTTCCTCATTAGAAACATACCAGGAGTTTTGTTTTGTTTCATTCACACATGTTTAAGAGACAAACCCTGGATATTTAGACTGAGTTCTTCTCTCAAACAGAAAACTCTGTTCCTTCTTGTGATGTCATGTGGCAATACAGGAAGTGCTCCACTGTCTCCATACACCTCAAGTATAATAACCCACTTCCATCATAAACAATATAAACCTGGTCATTTCATATCCATAAATCCAAATTCTCTAATTCCAGATCCCTTTTTAAAATCATTATCCGAGAGATCAAGAATTATCTTCAAACTCTAAACAATATCTGTAACATTAAATCTATCAAAACACTCAGTATTACAGAAGAATAAATTTTTTTTTTTTTTTATCCACTTCCTCTGTTTCTTGTATTGATCTCTCTGGACACATTATCTGCCTCAATTTAAGTTTACATGTATGTCAAATTTGTTTTTTTTGTTTGGCTTTAAATTATGTATGTATGTATGTATGTATGTGTGTATGTGTGTATGTGTGTATGTGTATATGTGTATATGTGTATATGTGTATATGTGTATATGTGTATATGTGTATATGTGTATGTACATATATATTTCTCCGCTTTCCACACCTCCCATAACTGTGAACTGGACTTTGCACTGATGCACAACAATCTCATCAACCAGTCATTGGGACAGAGGAAAACAAACACCTTCGCTGGATTATGAAATACGAAATTGTGCCCAAGGGACTATAAACCGTGATGAGGGGGCTTTTTTAGTCTCACACACCTGGGATACTGTCCTGAGGAAGTGGGACTGCAGATGGCGCTGTCATCCTGCCATCCTGTAGGAAGACAGTGCCAAAACCTGTTTAAATCAGCTGACCAGACACGTCACAGCAACATCACGTGACCACTCTGAGGAAGAGCACTAGTGAGCAGATCAGAACTGTCAGGTATAAAAACAAACTCTTGGTCTGAAAAACAAAACAAAACCCTAATAACATAATATCATCTGCACTTCACTATATTCTATCTACATATGCTGCTTTGTCATGTTGTTGTGATAGTGAAAAAAACAAAACAAAAAACTGTGTCCATACATCTTCACTAGAATCATTTGGATGATTTCAGCCCTGAAGTTTCCATACTATACTGAACAAAAGGTAAAAGAGAGCTGTTAACTTCAAAACTACCTCTTCATGACATCAGAAGATGGCATAGAGCATTTTGAGCTTTTGAGATGTGCAGAGACATAAAGCATAAAACAAAACACAACTCCAGACATATTTTTTGATGCGGTAACAACATTATAACATGAGTTAAAGTTCACAAGAGTCAGTTTTGTGTGATATATGTAGGACATTTAAAATCCTATGTTGATCTATAAAAGACATAAAAGCAATGCAGTATGGGATAGATCAAAGTACTATTCTTATGACATTGGTTGAACAGTGTAGAAATAGAGTGTGAGTAGTTTGTTTATAGGCAGTATTAATCATTAAGAAATAGTACAGTTATGAGTTTGTTCAGGTTGAAATAACAGGATTTCTGCTTCTTCCATTAGACATTTTTCTTGTCAGAATATAAAAAAAAATGAACATATGCTTGATGCTTTTACCAACCTCACTTCAGACTCCTGCCCAGTCACAGCTGTTAGCCATACTTTGCATTTTTTCCTTCACAATTTTAGTTTCACAATAAATTAAACGTTCTCCTTTAACATAGACCAAAACATGATTGCCGTCCATTTGAACAATCTATTCTGCAAAAATTCCACTGGCAGTTTATTAAAGGTCATATATTACGCAAAATTGACTCTTGTGAGCTTTTAAACATTTTGTAATGATGGTGCTTCATTAAAAACATACCTGGAATTTTGTTTTGTTCCATTTTCACGTGTTTGAGTAACTTTTTGTTATAAGTCTGTTTACAGCTAAAAAGCACAAAATGCTCTGTTCCAGTAGTTTTCATGTTAACAGCTAATTTTGACCTTTTGTTCAGTAGAGATTGGCAGTTCTGTGGCTAAAATGATCCAAATGATTCTAATGAAGATGTATGGAGTTTAAAACACACTGCAGGAGAATGAACCCAGTTTTGTAATTTTTCATTACTGAGATAATTATTCTTATTTAGTTTTATTTAATGTTTACTTAAAATGCATGATTTTTGGTATTTTGGTAATTATTTATGGTTAACATGATTATTAGCTGATTATTTTCTAAAAAAAATAATTTGATTTGATTTTTGTTGCACCATGGGAGAAGAGCCAAACAGTTTTTTGACCTCCTGTCACCTGTATGTTAAAAAGTTCCTCTTTTTGTATGTATTTGTATGTCCCAATGTGTGAATACTCAGTAAAGAGTTTTTAACTGCACTTGGATCGCTCTCCATGGATTCTTTCACTTTTGAGGCATTTTTAAGGTGGAACAAGGTGTGCAAAGTGTCAACTATGGCTTCACAAATGTTTGGACCTTACACACACTCTACATGACATAACAAGGTGGAACAGAGTGTTTGTTTGTTTAATATGTGTGAATAAAACAAAAAACAACTCCGGTTATGTTTTGGAGAGTAGCATAATAT